TGAGACTCCTCAGCAGTGTGCATTCACGGCCCCAAACACGGGACTCAAACCTAGGGCATTAACTCTCGCGTGCGAACACCTTACCTGTAGACCACTGAGCCGGCATCCGAAGGTGTTAATGTCTCACTTCAAGCAACCAACTGCTAATCATAGTATGTACGATATGTATGCTTTTCCATAAATTTAAAATAAAAATCAAGTGAATGTGACAATGTTATATGTATATTCCTAAGTTCTATTCGCCACAGACTGATATTAACTGGTATGCCAGACAGACTTACGTCGTCAACATGGAGCCTAACACAGCTGTGCGTTGGTCCAAGTTATCACACCTGATTACCTCAATCAACTAGCGATATAGAGCGACAACCATTCAATTCCAGTAGTAACAACTGCTCCACTCACAATATGTCTGAATAAATATACCATCTGAAACACTAATATTGCTAGTCACGGACAGATATAAACAGCACTTTCTAAATGGATTAAGTGTTTCAATCAGAGGTATAAAAACTTCAAAAAAACATTATGCAGCGCCAGGAAGGCCATCTATCGTTTATACTGACGAAATCATAATACGCATGTAACCTTGACATCAGTCAGTCAGTAACAACGTAGAACTTAGTACGTACGTACATCAGTTCGAGTTGCCATACCACATTAACACAGAGATGCAGTGGTCGATTCAAATCCCGTAGTGGTAGAGGTAGCAAAAGTATAAGCAGTAATCGGGAAGATTAGGGTTTGGAGATGTTATTTAACGAGTATAATCCAGTGAAATAAATTTGGAAAGAGGAAAAAAGGGACATGAAGAATTCAGAAGATTAGAATTTGGGAGAACACAAAGAGTGGATGCACCTGCGCCACTGCAAACGATTTTGAGCCATGTCATTCAGGGTCTCTAACCTTCGGTTGCTATCATCTCGCGGTCCCCAACCTACCAACATGACTCAGTCCACTTGTCAGTGACTTCATGGATTTGTGCCATGTTTTGGTCTGGCCGCCCCTAGCTTTCTTCCAACCTACTCCTATACCACTGAATATAGCACGTCGAGGTAGTCGGTGGTTGGGCATACGTAACACGTATCGCAGCCATCTCAACTGACGAAGTTTCACTACGTCATTAATTGATTTGCCATCCTTACCTAGTACTCGTTTCCTAACAACTGCATTACTTATTCGATGGTCCCAGGATATACGAGCAATGTTTCGAAGACACCTATGATCAAATACTAGTAACCTACGGATATCCTCTACTCTTACCGGTCATGTTTCACTGCCATAAAGTAGGACGGAACGAACTGCTGCGCAGTAAACACGTCCTTTGGTTGGTAGACGGATATCTCGCCTACGCCATAAATGACGCAAGTTGGCAAAAGCTAGTCGAGCCTTCTGTATCCGTGCTGAGATTTTGTCACACACCAGACCACAAGGGCTGATGAGACTTCCAAGATAAGTGAAGCGGTCGACACGCTCAATTACTTCACTCCCTATCATTAGTTCGGGTGTCGATGTAACCCAATCCTGAAGCAACATTTTGCATTTCGAGGGAGAGAATCGCATCCCGAACATGCTTGCATTGTTGCTTAGAGTGGTCAGAAGACTCTGCATTTTGTCAGCGTCTTCACCAAATAAAACTATGTCATCAGCATATTCTAATTCGACAAGTGAACCTCCTGGTAGAAGTTCAACCCCTGGAAATTTAGAGGGGGAAAGTGTTATCTCTAAAAGTACGTCAAGGACAAAGTTAAACAAGAATGGAGAGAGTGGGCACCCCTGACGAACATCGCTTGAGGTAATCAATTCTGATAACAGTTTGCCATAAGCTCTCAATCGACCAGTTGTGTTCGAGTAGAGAGCCTTTATAAGGTTAATGTACTTCTTTGGTACTCCTTTCAGTGACAAACACTGCCATAGAACCTCACGGTCAACAGAGTCGAATGCCGCCTTAAGATCGAGAAATACTACCATTGTGGGGCGTCTGAATGTGTGTCTGTGTTCTAGAACCTGACGTAGTGTGAATATCCGATCTATACAACCACGTCCAGGTCGAAAACCGGCCTGGTTTTCTCTAGTTTGCTCTTCACGAGCTTTGATTTGGCGTCGAAGTATTATTGAAGCTAATATTTTAGACACTATATTAGTCAAACTGATTCCTCTGTGATTGTCACAAGAGGACTTTTGTCCTTTCTTATAAACTGGCACAATCAGTGATTGAGACCAGTCAGATGGGATTACGTCCAGTTCCCAAATTCTACCTAAGACCTCGGTTAATCTCATTGCTAATACTGGACCACCATCCTTAAAAATCTCAGGAGTAAACCTGTCAGGGCCTGCTGCTCTCCCTCGTTTCAGATTTCCTATGGCTTTTTCAACTTCATAAAGAGACGGAGGACCTACATTAACTTGCCATTCAGGTTGACTGGAGATCGTGGGAAACCGAAGTGTGGCTGAAGGCCAGTTGAACTGATCCCTAAAGTGTTCTGCCCATCGATCCAACCTCCTGGATTGAGAGTGTATAATATGTCCATCTTTCTATGAGATTGTTTCGCTAACAGTCGGGTTCCTAATTCCGGTTTCCTTAACGAGTCTAAACAATTGTCTGCTATTACCTATTGCCGTTGCCTTTTCCATCTCTCTTGCTTTCGCTATCCACCACTGTTCACGATCATTGCGTAGACTTTTTGTTAGCTTGCGCTTAAGCTGACTCCGCTCTTCATTATGTTCATAGCCAGGTGGAATGAGTTTCCGAGCATCTATCAGTGCGATAGATGCTGCTGAGATCCAGTGTCGTTCCCTAACCTTACGGGTTACCGTACTAGCAGATATCACTGCTGTTTCCACAGCTTTTCGGATATCATTCCATGCTGCCTCGGGGTGGGCATCACATACATGGCTGCCTAACTGTTTTCCTAGTTGACCATCATTAAGTAGGGCCCTAAGAGGTTTCCTTGCAGCAACTTTACTACGTCCAGTAAGACGCAAGCAAATACGCGCTCGTACTAGAGCATGATCTGAATCTAGGCATGTGCTCCAGAATGAGCGACAGTCTTCTATCGAGCCCCTCCATCGGTGGCTGATAGCGATGTGATCTATTCGGGTCCAACGTTGGGACGAATTAGGGGGTCGCCATGTTAAAAGATGTTTTTCCTTATGCTTAAAGTTAGTATTTGCAAGGAACAGGCGGTTATCTGAGCATAGCTGCAACAGACGGTCGCCATTATCTGTTCTTTGAGCCACGATACTATAAGATCCACCCAGGTGTCTTTCCCTATCGCTTAGTTTACCTACTTGAGCATTAAAGTCACCGGCCACTATTACTACATCCGAGCGTTTAGCTTTTCGGAGAAGGTCCGAAAGCTTTCTGTAAAACTCATCTTTTACATCATCTGAGCTGCATTCAGTGGGAGAATAGGCAGAGACGACGAAGAGGCAACGACGAGTGTCCCTATCTTTTCGGATTCTTGCTGTTCCGTTCAGTCGGACAGCGCACAAACGACTGTCTACTGGGATCCACTCTAAGAGAGCTAGTTCTGCCCTAGGACTCAATGCTATACCTACGCCGGCGAGGCCACGGGAAGCAGAATCAGGGCTTCCAGATACACGAAGCGTAAATCGAGTCGGTTCTTTATTTTGGCATGGTGAGGTCAAATGAATGATGCTACTTGGATCCTGTATGCGCGTTTCGGAGACGCAACACACATCGATGGCTCGGGATTCTAAAGTCCTAGCTAAGGAAGCCTGCTGTCCTATTTGGCACAGTGTTCGTACGTTAAAAGCTCCTACGTGTAGTTTAGAGCGTGGTTTCAGGAGACCAGGAATAGCGTTCCACGTACTCGAATCGTTTGCCCTAGCGGTGCGAGGTGATAAAGAGACATGAGGAGGGTTAGTCATGGAGATAAGAGAGATATTAGAAAGTGTAGGAAGGATTTGAATGTGACCAACTTGGTCTCGCGTGCTGTTACGGGTATGAGGGCTGATGTCACTTCCCGGCTGCCCACACCGTGGAAGGGTATTTCTTGAGGAACCTGAAAAGGAAATTGGATTAGTGTTGGTCTTAACGACCTGGGAGCGTGACCGCAGAGCCCAAGGGACAACTGCTTGAGGCCGGTCGCGCACGGCCTTTTTGTAGAAGGTTTTTGACGTGTTAGCTCCGTTCTTCAGATGGCCTTACCGCCGGAGACGGAAATCCGTGAGGTAAGGTGAGGTGTGACATTTTTAGGGTTGACCTTTTCTAACCCCACCCCTCCTTGTGGGAAAGCAGCATCGCTGTCATGCTGATTGTCCGAAGGAAACACCTTACTGCTGTCACACCTCTGTACAGTCAGCAGTACGACTTCGCCCTCAGACTTTGAGTTGCTGCTTTTAGTCTTACCGTTCACCAATCGACCTGCCTGGCATGGTAGAACCTACAGGAACATATGTTCCAGCCAATATAGCTCGGATGGGTCATCACGATAGGCAAGCCCGACCACCACGTCAAGGTAGCAGCTTCAGTCGGGGGCCTTGACATGGTGAAGTCTTGTAGCCTAAATAGATGATTTTGATAGAGTTTTGTTGTCTGAGCTGGAAAAATGTTGAGATTTTGGATAGAGACAATTTTCAGAAGCTTGGCACTCAGGTCATTCAGTTATCAACAAACACATTGAAATCGATCCAATTTATTAACCAATCAGAAAAATTTCGGAAAGACATAGAACCAAAAATCAAATCAATGGGAGATACAACCAAAATAAAGAGGTAAACAATGACAGGTCAGGGGTCAACAATAAGCAATCAATATCGAGGTCTACAGGAAAAGCTGCGAACCACATGTGAAGAAACCCGAATACTTCACTTCTACCCCGATATTCGCAAAAACATGACCGAAGTTCGGGGAGGAAAAAAAGATGCAGTTGATTTTTGAGGACTTTCAGATATAATGGGTAATGGAAGTAAGGATGGAACAAGTGTATTCCCACAGGTACATAAATATACTATTATGTTACCATAAAACTAACCTGTGTTCTGTGGCTGGTATACTGAATCCAGCTGTCGGGCAATTATAATACCTTCTGGCGAATAACAAGGCAACCAAACTATCAGTTCCTTTGAAATTCACTAAATGTGCAGTGCCACCAATTGCAGCAGACTGTAATATATATGTGGAAAATAAAATGACGATTATCACAGAGTTAAATGACCAAGAATAAGGTGGTGGTCGGAGGTAGGCAACAGGAAATCTTGTAACTAAGTTTTGTGTCACTTACTAGCTAGCACAGTTTACGAGTAATCTTAATGAAATCGAAGCTCCGTGTGGCATTCGATCCCATGTCAACAAGCTTCACATTCAGAGATGTTATTTACTACTGAGTTGTCTGGGATGCGATTGATATCCTGCAGGATTGAGACGCATTCGCAATCGATTGATCAAGTTCTATCGATTAACAATAACGACTTGATATTGTTAACCAGCTTACCAACTACTTATTTGACTGATCAAGTGATAAACAAGAAATAAGGAAAAGATAGCTATCACCGGTTATCGTGTAACATATGAGTAAGAAACTAAATAAATGATCAAAAATGCCATTATCTGATCTAAATACTGATAAGGAAATGATCTAAGTCTCAAGATAATTTGGTCTATAGGATAGAGAGAACAGTGAATTTGTTGGAACTACAGATACAACAGTTTTATCGACATAGATATTGTAGTGATGTTGACCATTACCTTAAAAAATACTACAGAATTCCGATCATACACTAAGTTTAGTCGCTATTCTTTTGTTAATTGTATATTTTCATAAGGTGAACATGCTTTCAAGTGTATATCAGTCTTCTCATCTAAGCGATATAGGCTAATTTAGTAGTCTATATATGGTTACCTAGAGGAATCAACATAAAATAGTCTTTGGCACAGAGGAACTTGACGGTAACTTATACTAGATAAAGGAAACGAAACAGCGTACAGAGAACTCCAAAAATAACCCATAACTGCCATGAACATAAAGGAGTAAATTGTCAAAGAGTAATCAAATATTCAAAGCTTAAAGATCGTTGGTAATTTATTCAATTGCATAAATTTTCAACCAAACCATTCAGTAACGCTATCGCCATGTCTTAACCCAGTCACATCGTGAATTCATATCTACCAGTATTCATAGATAATTTGTAAAGTTTAATGTTTTGGTAAAAAAATATAGGGTCAATCAACAGTAACCAAAGCTAGTGAAATAATACAGAACTAATGATCTGCGCATAAACGAATTTCTTTGTGGCAAATAGAACTACATGATGAATAATACATAGCTAAATGAGAATGCGAATGTATGAATGACTACGACTTTTAGTAATTCCTATGATTTACTTTAGCTTCTAAGTCCTTCAGTCTTGAAGTACCCTAATTTGATTGAGTGAAATACATAGTGTATGTGTTTTAATTCATAGAATATTTTATATTGAATTAATAGGGAATTAAGTCCAATAATTGTAGTTCTAAACGTAGATTGACGAATTCATATTTTAGCTAGTTTGGTTACTAGGCATAGTCCCGTTTGGTTGGTTTCGATACCTGATTATCTCAGTCTGAAAAAAGGAACAGAAATCCACTCATTAAAGCCACGAATGAGTCGCTTCAAACAGGATAGTTTCAGAACATAGGTCTAGAATCATCCCACGTTTAATTAGGGTACGTGAAGAGCAAACGCAAGAAAACTAAATTGGTTCCAGACCTAGAAGTAACTATGTAGAGAAAATATTCTCCCTCTCTCAGGTTCGCAAACATAACCATGCCAACCGAATCCCAACAATAGTTATATTTTTTGGCCTTACGACAGCATCCGACTTGGTAAATTGATAGGTTTCATGATAATGTCTGGCAAGTAAACAATACCAAGTGAATTCAAAATAAGGACTGTTGCATCATAGTTGTTATGATGATAATAATATGTTCTGTTTACCATAAATGATTATTTGCTCTCTATGAAATATAGATCATTTGCATTTTACCATGACAGAGGTTTACGGAAATTGTTGAATTCCATAGTTTTTATCATGGTCTGATCTCTGTCCTGAGTTCGATGGTGTCGTGGATACACATTGGTGAGGTGTCCCATACTAGGAGTCCTGTTTGGTCCTGTTTGGTGAATACGCTGACAAAATGCAGAGTCTTCTGGTAGCACTAAGCAACAATGCCAGAATGTTTGGAATGCGCTTCTCTCCCTCTAAATGCAAGTTGTTGCTTCAGGACTGGCATGCGAAAACACCTGAACTAAGGATAGGGAGTGAAGTAGTCGAACGCGTTGACAACTTCACTTATCTTGGAAGTCTGATCAGCCCTAATGGGTTGGTATCGGACGAAATCTCAGCACGGATTCGAAAAACTCGTTTGGCTTTTGCCAACTTACGTCACCTTTGGCGAAGGCGAGATATCCGTCTATCAATAAAAGTACAAGTATACTGCGTGGCAGTCCGTTCTGTTTTACTTTACGTCAGTGAAACATGGCCTTTAAGAGTAGAAGACACTCGTAAGCTACTAGTATTTGACCACAGATGCCTTAGAAATATTGCTGGCGTCTGTTGGGATCACCGGGTAAGTAATAGTGAGGTCCGACGCAGGGTATTAGGGAATGATGGTAAGTCAGTTGATGAGGTTATGAATCATCATAGACTGAGATGGTTGGGCCACGTGTTACGTATGCCTGAACACCGATTACCACGACGTGCAATGCTAACCGGTGTTGAATATGTTTGGAAGTAAGGGGCGGCTAAACCAAAACGTGTCATCAGTGCTTGAAGTCATTAACTTCTAGTCTGAGCCATGTTGGTAGATGCAGACTACTTGGTTGGGGTCCTCATGACTATCGTAACCAATGGTTGGAGACTCTTGGTGACATGGCTCAGAATCGATCACAATGGCGTCGGTGTATACACTTCCTGTCTTCCCTTAAACTAAGAGATTAAGATCGCTTCATATGCTTCTTTCTACGAACTAATTCTTTCTTCCTGTACTATATCCTTATTGCAATCTTTCTCCTATATATTAACACCTTTGACTTAACTACTCCTACGTTGTAGCTGACTGACTGACCATACTAGGACAAAACAGTTGTCCAGTGATTCTTAGTCTTCTATGGTTGTTTAAACAACATCAATCTGTGATAGAAACTTAAGTGTTATTTTAGTATATGTCATCGATGAGAGTATTTAGTCACAGTGAAATCAAGATGAAAGCAATCTTCTTATTGTGAACAGCTTTCTATCAAATAGTTATTCACTATAAAAACAAACTTCAAATCATACTCAACTGAGTCTTATTCAAAATAATATACCAGTATTTGATACTTCATAGGTGTAATCCTATTTATATATGTGTTACTTCATAAGTTTTAGTCACATCTCTGTTATCATACATAGGTCAATAAGGGAATCAAACCTAAATAAACGAGTTCATAAGGATAACTGTTTATAGAGCAACGATCCATTTTCAATCGAAAATAAGACAAAAAACGAACACCATTCAACTATACTGATAAGTCACGTTAAAATGAATCAGTTAGTCAGCTATAACATAGAGTCAGGCACATATGTGCATCGGTCCAAGTTGTCATACCTCATTAGCACAACAAGATGAACACTAAATTCATAGAAGTAGTTAGTTCAGTGGTGGTAATATATAAAAGAAATACTGCATATTAGGATATAGTACAGGAAAAAAGAATTAGTTAATCGAAAGAAAGATATGAAGCAATTTTAATCTCATAGCTTAAGGGAAGACAGGGAGTGTATACACCTACGCCATTGTGATCGATTCTGAGCCATGTCACCCACAGTCTCCAACCATTGGTTGCGATAGTCACACGGACCGAATCCAAATAGTCCGCATCTACCAACATGGCTCAGACTAGAAGTTAATGACTTCAAGCACTGATGCCACGTTTTGGTTTGGCCGCCCCTAACTTTCTTCCAAACATCCCCAATACTATTCAGCATTGCGTGTCGTGGTAATCAATGTTCAGGCATATGCAACATGTGGCCCAGACATCTCAGTTAATGAAGATTCACAATCACTGTATAGAAGCAAAGTTCACTTTACATAGACTAGAAACGAATGTGACCTTTCATTTCTAATTATTATATCGGTCTCAATCCACAGTAAGAATAACCTTTTGTAACTGTGAAAAACGTTACTTAAACACTTGCCTTTCACACGACACAGTCAAAAACTTAAAAAGGGAAAACGTTTGAAATAGAGGTTGAAATAATTCAAGTGATAGACTTACTTCAATGGAGGAGACGCCTCGGAATCCAAAGTCATGAAGTTTAAATTCAGTAGAAAAGTCATCTGCAGTTTCATGAAGATACTTAACAATAATTTGTTTCATTGCTCGTGAATTTGTTGCTACAGCCATCGGATACCAAACCTGTACTAATATAGTCTATACTATGTATACATGATCAGTAACTTTTATCCCACCTCAAGATACGTAGTAAGCCAGTAACATTTTGGATCTGTATTTTCAACGGTCATTAAGACATTTTTTGTAGGCACCAACGTACCTTCAGGTACTGCCTTAATGACAATTGGTAAATAACCTTTATGGTGCTAAAATATACAAATTTTACAAAAGGTAAAGCAAAACTAACATTAGCAATGTATCTCCATCCTTCTTCATTGAAAATATCTCTACCGAAATGGCTTAGTAAAATGGATTTCGCCTCATCAATTTTTTCATGTGTTACTACTTGACCAACTAAATTTTTTTTTAAAATATACTGCAATCCAAAAAATACAGAATTGGGAAATCTCCCGCCACGGCTTTCAAAATAAGAGTAAATGAATTCTGTACCAGCAGGATACTGAGAATAGTGACTCACCTTGAATGTTAGAAAAAAGTTGAAACAAAGAGAAGCGACATACTTTGTATGAATCACATAAAAGGATGATATTATCAAAAGTATTCGACTGTGATCCACTCATCATGGAGAATACTGATGGCTTATACGTGTATAATTGTATCTAAAAGGCGAGAACTATGTCTGATTAAACAGTCAAGATGCTTCTGTAGAACATATTTCTCACAGCACATATTAGATAGGCTTTCCTGAATTTAAACTGTATAAACGCATAGAATGACTAAACACGACTACAAAATAAAACATTTTATACAAAAAGATTTATTTGATGAGTTGATTGCAGAAAAACCAGTTTACCTATGAGTTCATCACACAGGCCCATACTTGACTTGCCTGAAACTTGGTTTTTACAACATGGTCTTTCATGGTAGACAAGTTGGCGCGTAAAATAAGTAATTCAGTTCACTTGCTTGGGTCATATCTACAACCTCATTGACTGAACTTATTCAGTCTAACCTAACATTAAAATTCAAGTGCTTATTTCGTTGCTTCAGTTCATGTGGAAAATGTTTTTAAAGACACATAATCAAACACCCGTAATTTGTTTGCATCATTCAGTCACAATTGTACAGTAGCATACAGTGATGTTTTGTGTGGTGAACTCATTCATCCGTCAACAAACAACTGGACACTAGCGACATAGATGGTGTTTGATAGACATTGGATATACATTCAGTGGCTCGCAAAATTTGCTTTGCAGATTAGCTGGTGTAAACACAAAAACGTGATTAGAAAGAATAATCACTCCACTTCCTATTCATTTAGCAGACGATTCCTTCGAATAATTTAATATTGCCTCATACTTGACAGGTGGACTTTTCAAATCTAGGTGTATACGAATCCTGTTACTATATTTGAAAAGAAAGCTCTGACATCTGCACATCAACAATTTGACGACAAAGGTAAAGGGGAGTAGTGATAGTGAGTACCATCATCTGAATACATGAAAATTCCAGGACAATTTTCCACAAAAAATTGCAAAACAGTGGCGAGAACGCAACAACCTTTTCTGATCTTATGATAAATCCAGAAAATTCCATCATCTATGTTTCCTGTTAGCAGAAATTTCCAGGTAACTTGTCCTGAAGATTTCTTTACTTCTAGCACGTTGATCTTATTGTATGCATTAGTTAGATCCTATGCATATTATACAGATCATGTTTAACTACGACAAGAAACGAAATATTTCTCATGTTAAGATGAACTTTCCACTATTTCAATACAGAAGACTTCAAAGTCTTATTACAGGTTTACGATCATAAGCCTGTTGTGATCTAAAGTCATACAAATTGGGTTCACGCATATATGCGTGAATTTAATTAGACTTGATACTTCATATAAGAGAATTTTTGTTATTTTTTCGACCAGAAGATTGTAATGAACATAGATCTATTATTCAATTAAACAATGATTTTGAGTTAGAAATATAACATAAGTTATATTTCTAACTCAAAATCATTCCCTCTGAACACCAAAAACAGAGTACCAAGGTAGTTGGTTGTCACAGCGATATCTTACAAAGAACAACTCAGAACGAAAAAACCCGCGATGAAAAGCTTACATGAAGCGATAGCCCTAGAGATTAACACAATTTCGCAAGTATTTAAACTCGAGCCATGTAGTAGCAAGAGAACTGAACCATTAAAACAATGTCACAGCCCTTAATCATAACTACTGTTGATCCGAAATAGCGGACAATTAATTCCACACAACTTGCATGTGAGGTAAAAACACATAACTTTAGCTAGTATTAAGATACAAGTTATATCTAAACGTTGGTGGATATGAATAGTCAAACACTACCTAGTCTCTATAAAAGAGAGTAAGCAAACATGGAAAATAACAAAAGAAAATCGAATAGCAACATTCATAGTGATCTTTGTTAAAACTCCAAACGAAGGTAAGTGAAGAAACTTCCTTCAAATAGACCAGCATAATTTCAAACCACAAATGAAATTTAGACATTGCTTACGAGAGCTGTTGAACTGTTTTTCAATTAAAAAAAATTCACCTCGATATACGTAGAGCACAGCTGATAGATTAATATGGTTTTGTTTTATTTCTTCGAGAATATAATGTGTAAAATGTTAGTTATTAGTAATAGTGAAGCAAAAACCTAGGGTAGTCAGCCTCTGAATCTAAAGAACCAAAGTAACCGTCAATCCCTACTTTCGAAGGCTCCGCAGATAGAGCCGACACTAGGTTTCTTGACAAAAAGCTCAGTACTTTGATGATCCTGAATCAAACTATATTTGCACAGCATTTTGCGTCAGCTCATTCGTGTTCTATCCTAAACGAAAGTAGTCTCATATATAATTTAGTACTAAAGTGAATTCATGGTGAAAATAATTGTGAGCAATGTGGTTTATCTCTATTGTATTATCCCTGGTTCTGCTGTACGGTAAAGGTTGAAAGCTCAGGGCTTCCAGGGGAACTTAGTTGGGTATAATTTTCAGTAAATATATCTGATTATTTTTCTTAAAACTAACTCACCCCAAAAGAGGAAAATGCTTCCAATGGTTATGGGTAAAGGACACAATTATTCCGGATAAAATTTCAGATAAACACAGATGTTTTGAAATATTTCTGGAATCAAGTTATCCTATACTCTGGAAATAAATTCCAAGAATTTTTGCGCTTTTCTGGCTTCATACTATCAACACGAAAAGACACCAGACGGTGTTGTATAAAGTGGTCCTCTGATACTTTCTTGCAGTGAAGAATCTTATACAGGTATCACCCAGAAAGTATGAAGCCAATAAAGCGTCACTACTGTTCTTTATTTTGATCTTGTTCTTATTAGTATTGCTGTTGGCAGTCCAGCTGTATAACGTCTTGGACAATAACGATGGTATCTAGGCCAACTGTCTACTTTCAAATTCCAACACCATATATACAAATGAGCGTTTCAGGATCTAGAGTTAGGTAGGTGTGATGAACAATGAATACACTTGATTTTTAATTCAACATTTTATGACTTCTTTAAACCTATCATGACAATACAGTGCAATCTCATACTATGTACTTCGTGTTTGAATCCCTGATTGTGTCATTGTGAAGTTGTTGGATTATTGGGATTAATTCCGCTTCATTATACAAGTAAAAATTCACATCTGGCGTCGCATTTCAAATGAATTCTAATAACCCGCTCATCCATGCATTTCCCCGGGAAGTGAAATATTATTCAGAATGTTTTGATGTTTGGTGTTTGTCAAATAGCTTTAAGGAGGGTAGCATATCAGCTCATTTTGTGACCGCTATTAGTTGAGAAGCCTGTAATCTTTTGAAGAACCTTGCATATCTTGATAAACCTACCCTAATTTCGTTCATCAAACAAAAGCGATTACTAGAAGACCATTCCCATGCAACATCACTCAAAACATGTGAGAGAGCACAGTTCAATTAATTAGTTCGTGCTCCGAATCAAAATGTTACAGATTTCATACTACAGCTCCAGACACAAGGTATTAAGTGCGATTTCAGTAAACATATGATTATTCAACTTCATAACTGCCTAATTGTTAGCATAAACGATCCTAAACTAAAGAAACAGCTCGTACAAATCTTTTCCTGCATTTTTCAGATAGTTTAAAACTTCTGTTCTACTTCTGAAGATGTCTCCAGTGATCCTCATGATGTTACGAAACAATATAAGGTTTCATCATTGAGTGTGATTAAGTTTCCTGTACTTCAGAAACCTGAGACTTACGACAAGAACAGTTCTGATTCATTCGGACTAGTTACTTTTTAGTGGCATTGGTCCCTAACCACACAATTTTCAAAGGTGAACATGAGACAACTGGGAAAACGGACTCTCATCAAGTAACACTAAGAGAAGGTCCATAATGATGAAGGCGGGAACATTCATTCCAAATTCATTGAATTCATCGGATGGCATGTCTCAGCCTTACATGCGCGGTGTTTGTTCTCCATCACATATTGGTAATTGTTACGATAAGTTGAATCAGTACAGACAAGAATGTGACTTCCACGTAAGATCTTATAGATTACGCAGTTATAACATGACAAATCTACAATTTTACGATTATTTTTATTAACAGAGCAGCACTAATAACGAAGTAGACCATAATTCTACAACTGGTTCAGAGAGCAATTTTCATTGGTGAAAATTCCAGGTCATTTACTACTAGAACACTGAGTGATGGAGGATCAACACCAGCTGATATGGAAAAAAGAGTGGCTTCGCTCTCATCCCTTACCGTGGTAAAACCAAAAAATTGGCCAATAAATAGACTCGTACATATTATCATTAATTAGGTGTTGATTTCCCGTGGGACTTCATTAGTCTGATTACAGGTTCAGAGACTCAGTTATTTGTAGGGGTCTTCTCAATGAACAGTAGAATGAATCTCCTATAAACTAAGAGCATCATTGTCGAAATTAAATCATCACTGCCTAACATTCATGCCATTGCCATAGACAAGACTCGTAAGTTATATTCCAACTGATTGCATTTTATTTTCTACCTGGTAATCACAGAGTAGGATCCCACACTATCAGCTTGTGAACACTTGTTCGACTGAAAGCATATCTGGTATTTCACTTACAATGGCAGATTATAAGATGTGTTGATTTCAAAAACTCAATATAAAATAGATTATTACATAGTATATCTAAGACTAAATGATCATATTTAGCCTATATTCAGGGTAATTTCTAACCATTCAAAAACACTTATATGAATATCTGGCTCAATATGTGATCAGAATATTTGGTTCGGATAACATTCATCATGATCAAACTAATGTTGAACTAACTTTCATTAATGGTCCGTACGTAATTCCCACAATTACTACGACTCTCACGTGACAAAGGATTTCATGTATGGTTTCTTATATATTTCTGTGGTATAAGTGAATTCTAACATGTTTTGATGTGTCATTATTGTTAATGCGAGCACAAAACAATTTTTTGTCCTCAAACTATCAACTACCGGTTAATGTGGCGCTTTTAACGTGACTTATTAAGACACATCGATGAACTAAAACACTCTAGTTAGTCTTAACCACACTCCCTTTGACCGCAGGTAAACGTATTCGTTACGGGTGTATAGAGCATATCTAAAATTTTATGAATGTAAAACTAAGACATTTCTAATGTCTATTCATCAATACTGGTGACAAAATCAATTAAAAAACTGGGATTTTATTGACTGAATTCGATTATCATCGTTATTACTGATGGTAATCGTTCACAATAAGAATTAGGACCACTACATTTCCATCGTGAATTCATAAACTCTAAAGACAGTATATTTTGTTAAGCGCATGAATCACCAATAATGTATACAAGCCACAAACGCTCTCAAGTTTTGAGTATCAATCACTTTTACTAACTAAATGTATATAGGTACATTTTCCTTCTGTTTGAATAACTTGCAGTCAAAGAAAGTCGTAAATAAGTGTGAGCTTCTTGAACATAAACACTACCTCTGCACTGACGTAAGTCATCGATCTCGTTAGTGTTTTCCACATATATAAAGAACGGTCCACGTCCTCCTGTGGTGAGCCTAACCTACCTGACATACTAAACAGATATCATATCCACAGAGGGGCTTTAGCTATAGCTTTCGATCGTAACGTGGAACTAGTAGGTGCAGTGTATTCCGGAGAGGCGCGGAGCATAGAGTTTAGATTAAAGGACTATTTAAACATGCCGAAAGCACAGGAAAGCCTAATACCACAAAATGACGGGTGATTGTGTTCCTGGTTAGCAAATATACCGAAGAGCAGATAAACTCAATCCACCCAAATCTGCAGGGCAAGACGTTTTTTGACTTATGTCCTAGTGGAGTGTGACTAACCAATCATATTGATGTTAGACTCAAAGGGAGTTATGATTATTATCATCGTTATTATTAACAAACAGCTCAAGGGTATATAAGTGTTGTAAAAAAACATTGCAGGTGGGACGTTAGCCTCCCTTACCTTTATTTTTATAGTAAAAACATTGTAAGTTCACTAACTTTAAGTGATCTTAGTAAAGTTCATTGAATTGTTACACATCATTATGAGCTGGCCTTTGGTGGAGATGATTTGTAGCTCAGATAATTGTTTTTGCTGGAGCTTTGTTAGTTAAGTTCGATAATTTGATCGTCGAGCTCATACTGATATTTGGAAAAACATCATCAGTGCAAACTTCAGGTAAGTAAACATACACTAACTTAACAGAGTTTCACTAATCATTGTATGCTTGATGAAATAAACGTGAGTCAGAAAGTTAACGCGAGAACACTAGATCGAGAATGAATGGGGTAACCATTCCATATACCACCTTAGCCTTTATATTTCATAAGTTATCATACAACCAGATAAAATGTTTTATCAAAACGCCCTTACGAACAATACGCGCAACAGGCAAGTTAAGACTTCATCACCGTATAATAGCATTAGAGAAAAAATTAAAGTTAAATTATATACATTATAAGGAGTTGAGGACTTACAACTGTAGTTTCCGGCAATGTACTAACTAATGCTTTCCATAAGGAACATATGGGATCTAGTTTTATCATCTATAGACGTTACACGAGGAAATCATTGATCCAATTAAGGACATGTTCGACGATTCCTAAATATTCCAGTCCATTAATTGGTCCCTTATAAAATGTTATGTTGAAGGCAATGTAGAAAACATCTGCTGATTCCCAAAATCGTCCCTGTCCTATCATTGTGAGGTTGTTTGTGAAAGATAATATTGTCTCGAAAGCAATTTTTCCTAACTCGCCATCGGATTAGACAAAGGTCCAAACTGACTTTCTGGTTATTCTTTCCAATATTCTGACCACAAAACGGTTGAGGCTGACAGGTTCATCGATGAATAGAGTTATTTTGACTGTTTCTTATTAATTGGATTGTTGGTTAAATCCATTCAGTTCGCAATCAACTTTCTCTCCTCATGTGACTTTCTGTATACCTAGATAACAATGTGACAGTAAAAATTCGGCTTTTCAGATTTAAGTCGTAAAAGTACGCTTTTTCGAAACGAATATGACATATCACTGTACTGGTGGTAAATTGTTTTATTAGGCCACATTCAAATAACCACTTAGTAACATCTCCACATAACACCACCGTTTTTATGAATGCTAAACATTTCAAGGAAATTCAAAATTAAGACGTTGATTGATAATGAATGGATGGATAAAAATTCTAGTAGCTGAACCATGTTTCTTTCGATGAAAGCGATGAAGTGGGCTTACCCAATATGTCCGAGGATCACCACTATTGGAAAAACCGGATGTGACATTATTATTGACGTATGTATCTGTAACTACAACTCATATTTCAGAACCCAACTGTTGATCCACAACATGCTGTTATAGAGTATGATCCTTCTAATGGTTTAATAACCTTACGTGATCTATCTTCTCGTAAAGTAATTTCAAAGTTAAATGATTGATGTCTGTCTTCAAAGGGGACATTTGTGAATGATCAAAGAGTTAATGGAATCGTTGGACTACTGGTTGGAGACAAACTGAGGTTTGGGTGCTGCTCAACAATATATGAAATAACATGCCCCGGAAAGAACTCGCACGAGGTTCTTGAACCATTTTCACTACAAGTGATCAAAAGTCTTTTACAGGTACTCAACCAGTGAATCTTGGTAATCAAGAAAAGCGACCAGGTAACTAAATTATTATAACTTATGACCAATAAGCTACAATTCCTCCATGGGTGAAAGTGTGTGACGATTCAAGTTCAAGTCAAACCAATATTTCAAGTGTCGTTTCAAGTGGTAACGATTATCGCTTTTACTTATTGATATCTGTAGACAATAAGGCCTCTAACACGTGTATACAAGTTGACGAAAATAATTTCGAGGCAAATTCATCTTCAAAACAACCGGAGAGTCGTTCGAATACTAACGAATCAAAAATGTATCCTCTCTATTATATCAAAGCAAATACTTCAGGTGGTTACTCTAAGTTCATAACAAGTTTTGATTTTTATCTCTGAAATGTTTTTGCACTTTTCATCCTAATTTTATGACATTAAGTAGATAGTGATATTGACGAAAAGTTTTTAACAGATCGGAATACTATTTATATTTATAACGGTTCGTGATACGCCTGAAAAATTGAGAGGAATCATTGATGAAAAATTATGAATTTAGCACTACATGTCACCGCTTAAATGTATTAAAGTTGTGTTTCTTATGTAATTTTCGTAGTCTTGAACTGAAAAAATCACAAATCGATTGTGGTAATTAAGAGTATTTGAATTATAGTGCAAACTAGGAATCCAATAAATAACGCAATTCAACCAGGAAATATTAGGTGAACACGAACAAACATATTATATTTGGAATTCAAAATCAAGCAGTCATCAAGTACAGGGGAATCGTTAGTTCATACAAATACCACATCCCCCACAGCTTAAATGAAAATCCAAATTTTATGCAACCAATCGTACCTCTTCTCCTTAGGTTCATTGTGTCTGTCGACCGTGTGTTAGATATAGACTCTGTATGATCTGGGTCCTAAAATTGTATACAATCACCATGTCGGTTGTATAGGGAAACTGCGGATATCTGAAATTCGAACCACAGACTTCCTAACACTATCATCTCCCACAAAATAATGTAGGGTCCTTACTTCGCGCTGTTATGATTAACTTGACGTTCTCAATTTGCATTATCTTCTTATATCACTGACATTTGATCTGAAATCGGAATTTGATTTCTCTGAAATATTTTTCTCAAATTTATTCATTAACGAATGATGTATCGTTACTAAAATCAGCATCTATCAAAACTACATCAGGTTTTCCTACATCATTTGATTCACCCAACGTATTTTCCTCAGATTTGTAAGAAATGTCATCAGAAATATGTGAATGATTAGGACAAACTATATATAGTACAATAACATGAGAAATCTGATAAGAAGTTGATTGATTAGAAAGTTTTGTCTCATAACGATTCTGAGTTTTATTTAACTTTGAACTGCTGCGTGATTGTATGCCGATTTTCGACACTAATGTGATGATAAACAATCCCAGAAATAACGCGATTTAACAAAGATGTACCAGATGAGCATGAACGAACATTTATCTGGAATTCAAAATTAAGCATTAATCAAATACAAAGGAATTATTAGTTCATATAAACACCATAACGATACAAGTATTTGGATTGTGATGAGATACATAAAAAGCTATTGAAAATATTATCGGCCACCACATTTCACTTAAAGTGCGTGGTTCTGATGGTTAAGGTCAGTTTTAAGCTTGGGTTATCTGGAAACTTTGTTTTATGGTACAAGTAACTAAGTTATATTCTATAATCTACTTTTTAACAGATATCTTTACTAAAGTTGTTTCTTGACTTGAGTAAGAATACCAAATCACCGCCATCACTTTATGAAGACAATTTTAAGAAGCGGGATGATTCACCCAACTGGTCGGAAAATAAATTTGATTATACTGAACTACGAAACAGTTGATAAAAACTGACCAATAACCAAGTTTACATATACAATTTACACTGTCGTTAGATATGATTATATTAAATAAAAAAATAAAATAAATTACTGAACTTTATAAGTGTTTTTTTAAAACACTCTATAACTTTAGAAGTTTCTCCCAAAATCCACAGTTGATCGACTGATTTATGGGTGTATATTTTAGCAAATCTTATATTAGGACTAAATTCACTTTATAATATCTATTGCTTTATGACTGTTAAGTTCAAGTCAGTCCACAATGTCAGCTATCTTTCAATAAGAGGATCTTTACGACTATCTATCTTAATCATATATAACCCTGTTTTATACTATTCTTAGACCGTTGCTTGACCAACCTTACTCCAAACGTAACAACGAGTGCTTCAACAGAAAATGACTGCAATTCAGATCAAAAAGTAAGCTGTTACTTGATCAACTTTTGTACTAAATGTATACCTGAAATGTTTCAGATCAAAGTATAAGAGATTGGTTTGTGCAACACGATAGAAAGTTCAGTAATACATGAGATCTAAATATAATTTACAGATTCATGATGTAAAACTAAGTTATGGAAAATTGGCTCTCCACCAACTAAAGTGCCGAATGCACGTTAACTAGATAATGAACAAATAGAGTTGTTTCTCTTACCTTTATTTTTTTAACCATAACTTTTAAGTCCCAACTAAAGAAATGCGTATTTGAAATCATATCGAAGATCTGCAGATCAGATAGAAATCTTTGATGATACTGTATTCTCCAAGCCAGATGATTTATTAACAAAACTTTCAAAATTATTTTTGAGTACACAATAAAAGATTTTGGGTGATAAGGGTTAGTCAGAACGAGATCATAAGTCCGGTTTTTGTGCCATTTTGCGATCGCCAACAAGGCGTTCTCGCAATCTTGAAGGGGGTGATAATATGTATGTGAGTCGATCTCATATCACCTAGCTGCACAGTTTAATATGTTACCACTGATCTGCTCAGTCCTTAACTAACGTCCTCCAGGACTGAGATATTTGAAACCGATTGATGGCTGTGTAATGACCAATGCAATACTTGTAGAGTCTTTTAATTTCAATTGAATTCTAGTTACAAAAAACCTACCTCAAGTAGAAGGGAAATTTTTTATTAGTCCATTGTACATACTCGCCACTTTTTATGAAGAAAGTAAAAAAAAGGTTACAGCAGGATCGCCACTGACTTCTATTTTGAGCCATATCTGATCACATCTCTAGCCACTGTGTTGCACCATCTATAGGACCCTAACCAGGGAATCGTGAAGGACTAACATAAGCCAGTCCTGTACACAATTCTTTCATAACACGACACCATGGCATACACTGATCACCTCCCTGCTTTTTCCAACCGATCTCGGTGTCGGCAAATAATGCGTGACGAGGAATTCTCCGGGATGATATGTCCAAGCCAACGACGTCGATGTTTCAAGATAGTGACACCAATTAAATTATCGTCTCTGAGCACGAACACACGATGCCGAACCTCTGCGTTACTAACATGCTGTTGCCACTGGATGTCAGTAATCCTTCGGTGACAATTTTGATCAAACACAAAGAGTCGTCTAACATCCTCAACTCAGAGAGGCCAGGTTTCACAAGCATAGAGCTAAACTTCTCTCACCGACGTGTTGTAGACGCGACCTTTTGCAGCCAGACTAACATCACGAAGGCGCCAAAGATGGCCCATTTCGACATAATCTGCTCTGGCTTTCACTATATGTGCATTGATCTCATCACTCACGCCACCACTAGCACTTATGCAGCTACCTAGAAACACGAATTTCTCGAATACTTCTATCTGTTCACCATCCAGAGTGAGTACAGCATTAGAATCCTGCCAGTCTTGTAAAAGTACTCAGTACTTAGAAGGTGCGAAACACATACCATATCTACGAACACTGATTGACAACTGATTAAGTGCGGATTGCATGCCTTGGGCATTATCGCACAGTAAGACAATATCATCCGCATGCTCAAGGTCGAGAAGTCTTTCTCCAGGCAACAGATGCAAATTGCCATTACTTACATCCATCAGAGCCGTTTCTAGAATGTCACTGGCAAAATCGAACAGGAGTGGTAAGTTTTGGAAACTCTGTCTAACCTCACTGCTTGAATGGAGCAGTAGAGAAAGGTGGTTGTATGCCCTCACTCTACCTGAGGTGTTTGTATATAGGGCTTTTAGGATGTTAATAAACAAGATTTCTGTCATATAATTATGAATAACAATTACAATCTAACTACTAGTTTTAACGAGTTTGACTTGATTCCAAATGAATATAACAATAGTCATAACAAATGGCAATAAATTATGTAGAATTCTTACATCTCTTCTTCATACCTTTGTTATAACACTCAATTTTACTTCGTCTAATGTTATAACGGTTGGTTTCCCACATCTACAAGCATTGGGCATTAATTTAACTTAGATGAATATCTACACCAGATTCCTCTCCCAGTGTGTCTATTTTACAGGACTTCAACACAACCCAGATGATCAAGAATACGTGATTAGCCTGACTAGAACGTAAATGTTTTTTTCACACAAAAAACTCGACACAATCTAACAACCATGAACGATCACTAATAAGTGACTTACTTACTTACTTACGCCTGTTACTCTTCGTGAAGGAGCATAGGCTGCTCACCAGCATTCTCCATCCAACCCTGTCCTGGGCAATCCTTTCCAGCTCCTTCCATTTCGTATTCATCCTTTTCATATCTGCTTCTATCTCACGACGTAATGTGTTCTTAGGTCTTCCTCCTTTCGCTTCCATTCAGGATTCCAAGTTAGGGCTTGCCTCGTGATGCAGTTTGATGATAGGCGTAATGTATGTTCTATCCATTTCCATCGTCTTTCTCTAATTTCTTCTTCAGCTGGAAGCTGATTTTTTCTCTCCCAGAGAAAGCTGTTGCTGATGGTATCCGGCCAATGGATGTTGAGTATCTTGCAAAGACAGCTATTTATAAATACTTGTACCTTCTTGATGGTGGTTGTTGTAGTTCTCCAAGTTTCAGCTCAATACAATAGAACTGCCTTGACGTTGGTATTGAAGATTCTCACTTTGATATTGGTTGAAAGTTGTTTTGAGTTCCATATGTTCTTCAATTGTAGGAATGCGACCCTTGCTTTACCAATCCTTGCCTTTACGTCTGCATCTGAACCTCCTTGTTCATCGATGATGCTTCCCAGATATGTGAAAGATTCTACATCTTCCAGAGTTTCGCTATCAAGAGTGATTGGATTGCTGTTCTCCGCCTTAAATTTGAGGACCTTGGTTTTCCCTTTGTGTATGCTGAGGCCTACTGATTCAGAGACTGCTGCCACACTGACTGTCTTTGTCTGCATCTGTTCGTGTGTATGCGATAGGAGGGCTGGTTCATCTGCGAAGTTTAAATCGTCTAACTGATTCTGAGCTGTCCATTGTATACCGTGTTTTCCTTCAGTTGTCGAGGTCTTCATAATCCAGTCGACCACCAGAAGAAAAAGGAAAGGAGAGAGTAAACAGCCTTGTCTTACTCCGGTCCTTACTTGGAATGCGTCTGTCAGCTGCCCTCAATGCACTACTTTGCATTGTAGTCCGTCGTATGAGTTCGGGATAATATTGACAATCTTCTCAGGAACTCCATAGTGTCGAAGAAGTTTCCATAACATCCTCCTATCCACACTGTCAAATGCATTTTCATAATCAATGAAGTTGATGTGTAGTGACGAGTTCCACTCAACTGATTGTTCGACGGTGATCCGTAGTGCTGCAACTTGGTCTGTGCACGATCGATCCTTACGGAATCCAGCTTGTTGATCTCGAAGTTGGGCGTCCACTGCGTCTTTCATCCGGTTCAGCAACACTCTGTTGAAGACCTTCCCTGGTATTGACAGTAGTGTAATGTCTCTGTAGTTTACACATTTGCTCAGATCTCCTTTCTTTGGAATCTTGACGAGGTACCCTTCTTTCCAGTCCATCGTCACTTATTCTTGCTCCCTAATCTTTTTGAATAGAACGTGAAGCATGTTTGTAGTTACTTTGATGTCTGACTTCAGTGTTTCATCTGGTGTGTTGTCCGGTCCTGCTGCTTGCCCTCTCTTGATTTTTCTGACGGCCATTCTTATTTCCTTCTTCGTTGGTGGGTTGACGTCTATGAAAAGATCTGTGTGTGCCGTTTCGATGTCCGGGGGATTCATTAGAGCCGGCTTATTCAGGAGTCTCTCGAAATATTCTACCCATCTGTTTCGCTGTTGTTGAATTTCAGTGATTGGCTTGCCTTCTTTGTCTTTGACCGGTCTCTCTGGTTTACTGTATTTCCCTGCTAGTTTCTTCGTTGTATCGTAAAGCTGTTTCATATTTCCTTCTCTAGCAGATTTTTCAGCCGTCATTGCTAGTTCTTCAATGTATTTCTTCTTGTCGGTTCTAATGCTCCTCTTCACTTGCTTGTTTACTTCTGTGTATTCAGCTTGTGACTGGACTTTCTCTGTTCGTGTTCGGCTGTTGTTAATTGCTGTCTTCTTGTTCTTCCTTTCTTTGATCTTGTCCAGTGTTTCTGTAGAGATCCATTCCTTATAATGGTATTTCTTTAGACCCAGAACCTCTTGACACGTTGAAGTTAATGCTTCTTTGATACCTTTCCAGTTGTCCTCCATAGTACTTTCTTCTTCTTTCAGTAGATTTTGTAAGGCTTGCAACCTGTTGTTGAGAGCTATCTTGAATTCATTGAGTCTGTCAGTATCTCGAAGGAAGGCTGTATTGAACCTTTGTAGTGCTGTTTGTCCAGTTGTCCAGTTCTTTTTTAGCTTCAGTTATAAATTGGCTACAACCAGGTATGTGTGGAGCATTTTCCTCTTCGTGACCGGAGTAAAACAGCATCTCTCTCGTAGCTAGCCTTTTCTGTCCAGCTTGGGTTCAGTGGATTTCGCTGATTTCCAGTACTGCCAAATTGTATCTCCTCATTTCCGTTGCTATTTGACTGGTCTTCCCGGTCTCCCACATTGTTCGGACGTTCCATGTACCTACAAAAATGTTTGCTCTGGTTGTTAGAAGGGGCATCGGCCTCGTGGCTAACCCCATGCCCAACCCTCCTCCTTTACCCGGGCTTGGGACCGGTAGTAACTCTAGAAGAGCTACAGAGGGATATATAACTCTTCTGACAACTGTCAGACTATCTACATGTCTGACTAAGCAAACAACCAATCATTATCATTCTCGCCTACATATCGACCTTATTATTAATTTTGTTTTTGATTGAGATCATAAACTGGTTGTTGACAGACTACCATTGAAAACCTGGAAGCACTAGACGGCCGTTTCGTACTCAGTGGTGGTCTAACATCAATCGGTTCATGATCTCAATCAAAAACTTAACAATCTTCACAACCCCTAAACTGATATTCATATTGTTTTAAATCTATATCTCTATATACATATACAGGATCAATGTATTAAAGAATTACAAGAACAAATTAATCGTCTTACACCATTAGAAGCAATTACAACACAAAAGGATATTCTTATAAAACATTTACAAAATCAATTATTTCAAATGAATCAATTAAGTAGATTATTTCATTATACCGATAATTGTACCACATTATATACACCAAGAAATGTATCATTCATAAATAATTATACTCAAACAGATCATGAACAAAATATTATTACGTCATCATCATCATCATCGTCATCATGTAATCAAATTCTATATCCTACTCAACAACAAGAACAACAACAACAATATGGACCAATTAGAATGCGACCTTGTTCAACACCTTCACCAATGAAATTATCCTCAAATAATGTTACTATGTTAACAAATCATAATGATAAAATGAATAATGATACTATAAAAGATGGACAATTATTAGAAAAAACACATAGAGAACGTCAAATATTAAGTGGACTTGTAATACAATTACAAAAAGATTTATCTAATAAAGATATACAAATGAATAGATTAAATAAAGAATTAAATTTAATGAAAAATCAATTAATCGAAAAAGATACAACAATAGATGCATTACATATGAAAGTAAGTAATCATTACTATTGTTTCAATGGTTAAGATCATGAGTCAGTTGAAGCTAGACCACTATGAAAAACCTGGAAGCACTGGATAGTTGTTGCGTTCTATTGTGGGACTCCTCAGCAGTGCGCATTCACGACCTCGCCCCCACTGCGAGATCTTGAACCCAGAACCTATTGGCTTAGCGCTCAAGCACTTAACCACTAGACCACTGAGCCGGTATCCAACGGTGTTAATGTCTAACTTCAACTAATCCATGAAATTGAATGACACACCCGCCATTGTCTTCAGTGAGTTACTATATCACAACAGACCTGGTTCAACTACACTGGTCAGTACTTCTCACTAGAACTCCAGGATATACCTCGCGAAACCAGTAGGTCCTGGGTTCGAATATTGCAGGGGGCGAGGTTGTGGATGCGCACTACTGAGGAATTCCACAATAGGACGTAACGACCGTCCAGTGCTTCCAGGTTTTCAGTGGTGGTCTAGCTTCAACTGACTCATGATTTTAACCACTGAAATTACTATAATATCCACAAAATCCATCTGATATATATATGTTATTAGTGTGGGAACTTGTCAAGGTGATCATATTTTCATAGTTGAATTAACAAGTCGATCTAAGCTCGATCATCAATTGTGTCTGATGTGAAATAGTTATCCGCATTAGATAATGAATGAAGGATTGTGCAAAATCATAGATCAATTCAAGTTAGACATTAACACCGTTGAAGGTGTTCGTGCACAAAACCGGAGGTCTTGGGTTCGAGTCCCATGAGTAGGATCATAGTTGCGTACTAATGACAAGTCTCAATTAAGAACAGAATAGCCATTTTGGGCTTCAATGTTTTTAATGATGGTTTACCTTAAATCAACTAATTAATTCAACTGTTAAAATATCTATTTTGGTTAAGAGTTAAATTAGAATTCTCACTACTTAAATTTTGTTTCCCAGTAGAAGTTTGGTTCATGCTACTTTTTAAATTGCTTTTAGAATAATATGTAGTGAGATGTAGGCTAGAAGCTGTCATAGTCGTTAGGTGGAGCCAAGAGTTTCAGCCTATCAAAAGCACGGAGTTGACTGAACACTTGAAGGTTAGGCAAGAATACACCGCAAGATGCAAATGAATGATTCAAGGCTATATATATATATAATGTCAATATTTGTCTCGTTGCTCGTTGTCTTGTTCTACCGAGGTATAAACAGTATGAAGAGGTGGATTTTTCGTCCCAATCTGACACAGATTGCAAAAATAATTAAAATCCTGGGATCATTGAATAGATGCCTTATTATCGTTTGAGGTTCATTTTTGTGATACAAACCCAGAGACTTCAAGTCAGGTGATGTGGATATTCCCTTAAGACTAATAGGGCTGATTTCAATGGTCCATATTTTCAAAACCATATAATTTGGGGTATAATAAAACTAACTTCAAATATTATTGACGATTACTAACACAACACACATCATCCGTAGTTGAAAAGAAATTTACATTCATTCAGTGAGTATTTTATTTACACTAAGGAAATTGATAGTCAAAGGAAAATGGATTGTCTTATAAATAATTTTAAGGATTTTACATTGAAGGAAAAAGCTAATTACGTGCTTGTTCACTCTTCAAACCTACATCCTGATAATCTCCATTGTTATTGTATGTACTGGGTGTAACTATGATTGTTATATAAATATGATGAGGACACTCAAAAGTTGTAAACAATGAAGTAGTTTATACATTTTGATATAAATACCATAATGTTAACACTGAACTACTGACCAGAATTATATCACTAGTATATATGTCGTATCCCAGCCTAGCGTACAATTCAGCCTGTAGCTCTTCTAAGGTTCCTGACGGTCCAAAGCCCTATTAAAAGAGGAGTGTTGGATATGGGGTCACCAAGCCTATCTGGCAAAAAACAACTTTGCTAAAAATTATTAACCAGAATAAAAAAATTTAACCATTTAAATTCTACCCAACGAGTTAAGCTATCATCATTCAGAGGAATCATGACACCTCATGATGAAAGCTGACAATCTTCGGAAGTCATGAGGCTTATACCCCTTCCACTAATCAGAGCAATAATTTTTATGACTATATAGAATGTTCGAGTAATGTGGGAGACCGGGAGGACCAGTTAAATAGCAATGGAAATGAGGCGATACAACTCGGAAGTACTCGAAATCAGTAAAACCTATAGGACTCAAGCTGGAATGCAAAGGATAGATTCAGAAGAGATTCTGCTGTACTCTGGTCGTCACCACTTGGTGTTTGCTAACATAAAACTGAAGCTAAAGAAACACTGAATAACTGGAGAAACAGCGGTACAAAGGTTTGTGTGTGTTGCTTCGATATCCAGTTGATTCAAGGTAGCTGGCCTAATCAATAGTTCCTCAATATGTTCCACCTATCCGCTCCTCTGTTTTCAGGCTTCAGTGATTAGTTTGTCTTCTTTGTTCTCGACTGGTTCCTCTAGTTTATTATATTTTGCTGTCAGTTTCTTCATTATATCATAAAGTTATTTCATATTTCCTTGTGTTGAAGCTTTTCCACTGTCATCGTTATGTCTTCTATGTACTTTTGTTTGCCAGCTATACTGCTCTTCTTTACTTGCTTGTGCGCTTTTGAGTATTCATTTTGTGCCTTGGCATCCTGAGCTTTGTCCGACTGTCGTTAATTGCTGTCTTCTTGTTCTTCTTATTTTGAATCCTGCTCAGGGTTTTGATAGAAATCCATTCCTCATGATAATGCTTCTTGCGGCCGAATACCTCCTGACATGTTGGATTTAGTGCTTCCCTGATCCCTTTCCAGTTGTCTTCCATAGTAGTTTCTCTTTCTTAGAGTAGATCTTGTCAGGCCTAGAATCTGTTGTTGAGAGCTATTTTAAGTTCGTTGTATTTGTTGGTATATTGAAGGAAGGCTGTATTGAACCTTTGTACAACTGTTTCTCCAGTTGTTTAGTGTTTCTTTAGCTTCAGTTTCATCTCCTTTATCCTCCTTTGTTCGGGCTTGGCGGAAGCAGTAGCCCCAGAGGGGTTCCATGTGAAGTTGCCTTGATATAGCTTTGCTAAATACATCCATTTTTTAATATTCTGTACAAGGTAAACAGAAACCTGCCAAAATTAGTATGATTTCATGTCCTCTGTATTACTGAACCACATACTGTACACACAAAGATGTGAACTGTGTATAGAAAACAAACTTTTTCATCCTTATATTCTGCTATTGACTACCTATAGAATATTCTTGTTTTCAATCATTACTCTCTACTTCTATTAACCCAAACTGCATCCTTCTTGTTTGAATGATTATCATAAATGCATTTTATTCTCAAGATTTACCTCATTATTCCATTAGGAAAGTCAGTTACATCGGTATTATTTCCATATATAGTTCAGCTGAAAGGCAAATCTTGATAAAAGTTTGTTCTAAACCATCCAGCTCAGAGAACGAAACTCCATCAAAATCATCCAGCTGAGCTATAAATCTTCTTCACCATCTCGAATGGCAAATCTTCTGCATCATCCCAACATTTTAAAGTTGTTTTTTTAATGAAGTCAATAACTTTGTGCATTCATTTGTTTTTATTTTTATTATCTGATAAGTTATTATCATAGTTAATAGGCTTAATAAGATTGATCTTCTTCGAATAATTTTATTCATTCCTAAACCGCACACACCCACAGTCTAGTCATACCATGTAGTAGGTACTCTAGGCGACCTTTGAATTATTTACGCCTGTTACTCCTCGTGGAGAAGTATAAGACGCCGACAAGGATTCTTGAACCAACTCCACCTTAAGCTCTCCTTTCAAATCGTCTTCCAATTGTTGTTCATTCTTTTGATGTCTACTTCCAATTCTCAGTGCAATGTGTCTTCAGGTCTTTCCCTTTTACCTTCAGCAAAATCATCCACTTGAGCTATAACTTTTTACTACGATTGAATTCATCGGTAATGAACAATCATAACACTGCATTTCAGATTGTCTGAAAAATATAAAAGATTTGATCAATAGTGTCATGTATCCAAGAAAATGATCATCGAACTCGAACAGAATATCTGTCGAATACTACGTTGTTTGTTATAGGATTTCATGTTGGTTAACGATGAAAATTGCTTCTAAATAACGTTTGCTTCATTAAATTCATGTTTTAAAGTGTGTATGTTTTTCTTAAGTAGTATTGTTTCTCAAAGGTCTGTTAAGTTAATCACGAAACTGTCATCGCTTTTTTTCACCCATTGTAGAATCTTCTTCATATGAAAATTATATATTATTACCTTCACTGGCTTCCCGCTAGAACTCCGAGAATTACCACTCGAATCCACTCACTAGTAATTACATGGTAATTATCAGTATGTGGTTATGGAGATTGTTGAGTAAGGTAATTCTCGATGTTTTAGTGCGAATCCATGACCAGTGTAGCTAATTCATGTCAAATGTGAGTCAGTTACCCACCGAAGACAATAGAAGACAATCGCGCAATTTTATGGATTGGTTGTAGTTATAGTTTATTATTTTAAAAACACTTCCTTTATATTCATCATTCAACTTTCATTGATCTCTCTAGACTGACTTCAATATGAATACAGTTCGACAGTTTCATAAATTAATCCAAATAAAAGTCACCTTATAAATATGTTGTATTATAAACTATATTCCTCTTAACTGTTGATATACATTTTGTAAATTTTCAGTATAATAAATCTCAAGATAAAAAACAATACAATTTGGAGAAGGAACAATTTGAAAAAGAAATTGACAGTATTCGTCAGGTAAATCATATGAATTTATTCTTTTAATGAAAAACCATGATCAGTGGAGTGTAATCCGTGTCGGGTGGAGACAGTTATCCATTTCAGACAATGGATATAGGGTTGCGCAACATCATGGAATGATTGAAGTTAGACATTAACACAGTTAGATCACGGCTTAGTGGTCTGGAAGTTAAGCGTTGGGGTGTGAGACTGAAGGTCCATAGTTCGAATCCTGTGAGAAGGATCGTAGTTGCGCACTGCTGAGGAGTCCCACTCTAGGATGAAATGACTGTTCAGTGCTTCGAGGTCCCCATCAGTGGTCTAGCTCAAATCAACTCATAAATTCAAACATCATAATTAGTGTTATTCACTTTGAAATGGTTTTTTCTCTATTCTAGTTTAATATTTACAATAATATCAATGGCTACCCAAATACCATTCAATGAGGCTGACAATATCTACATAACTTAAGACTTGATTTATTGTTATTTATTATGGGTCTTATTTACAACATTTAGAATTCACTGATGAAAACGTTAATAAATCTAGGATTAATTATCGGGTACTTTAAGATAAATCATCAATTGATGCAAGATCAGGCAAATAACATGTCATCACAGGGTCAAATCCAAATGTAAACGGTATATTTTAAATAAGTGGATTATTCTTGTAACCAAGGTAACTAACCATCTAAATAACTCTCATATATATATACTTGTGTGCATTAGGATTTGAAGATCTAGTGAATAACCATGACGAATGTCAGATGTGGAAAACGGTCGCTCAATTTCATGTACTTTTATTCAATAGTTCAATTAAACCTTTTAAGGGTATTGAACAAAAAGATCGAAAGTAGCCAAAATTGTTAATTTCTGTCCTCCTTCTTTCCGTATTTCCTTCCTTCCTTCCATCCATCGTTTCGTTCTTTTTTGTTTTTGTTTTTTTCAGAAATATAAAACTTCAGAATTACATAATCATTCATTACAAGATGAATTAGATAAAATGAAATTAGATCATCATAAACTTCTTCAAGATATTGAAAATAAATTAGTTGCAGAGAATAAATTACGTAAAGAATTAGAAGAAATGCAAATAAAAATTATTGAATTAGAACGTTCTGTTCGAATTCATCAACTTGATAAACATGAAGCTGTTAGTGAGGTAAATTTGATCATTGATAAATGTTTCTCACATAACATATTACTTACTTACTTACATACACCTGTTACTCACCGTGGAGGAGTATAGGCCATTCACCAGTACTTTCCATCTAACTCTGTCGTGGGTAATCCTTTCCAGCTCTTTCCAGTTGTTATTTATCTTTATTATATCCGCTTCTATTTCCCGACTTAATGTGTTCTTTGACCTTGTTCTTTTCGACTTCCTTTCAAAATTCCATGTTACAGTTGGCTTCGTGATGCAGTTTAACGATTTCCGTAATGTATGTCCTATCTACTTCCAACGTCTTTTCCTAATTTCCTCTTCAGCTGGAAGTTTGTTTATTCTCTACCACAGTAGGCTGTTCCTCATAATATCTGACCAGTGGATGTTAAGTGACTTGCGTAGACACTTGTTTAGAAATACTTGCACCTTCAGATAATATATAGGTGGGAGTATTGATGTTGTTAACTGATTAGAAGTATTGAAAATAATTCCATACTAGAATGAAACAACTGTTCAGTGTTTTCTGGTTTTAAGTAGTATCTAAAGACCAATTCTTTTACGAATAACATCTAAAGGTTGTTTATTTTTCAAAGCAAGCCCAGACGATAACATTTAGAATGTGTTGTAATTTTCTCTTATTACGACCCAGATATTCCTATTGCTTAGTAGACTTGGACACCAATTCATTCGACAAGTCCTTAAATCAGAACATGGTGTAACAGGAACGGAATAATATTCCAAATAACATAGGGGTAAACGGAAGTAAGAAGCACAGTAAGAAAAACAGTTTGTATATGAGAAAATTCTAGGTTGAGACCATAATTTTTGAAGGAACCAATTAAATTTAGGAAAACACGTCTCGGATTCTGGTGCGAAATTCGCTTATCCATTTGGCTAAATAGTTTCTTAGCATTATAGCTGATGTCAGTTCGTGATGAAAACCTTAAATGCTATTCCTAACCTTAACCATCAACTGTAAATCATAATTCTAATTTCCCACACTGGTTTATAATCTTCATTTGGTCCTAGTTATTAGGTGAACACTCTCAAGGTCATTGTCACGATCTCTCAAAATTCCTCCATAAATTATACTCTCACCGATTCTAGAGTCTTATACAAGTATCGAATAGGGCTGATTGGCTAAGAAGGACTTGACACACATGACATTGATCACCACCCATTGATCAATCAATTGCGAATACATCTCAGTCCTACAGGAGGTCGGTCGCGGCTTAGATAGCTTCTCTGACTATGAAGCTAGGTGACATGGGATCGAATCCGTCAGGGAGTACCCATTCCCTCAAGATTACTAGTATATCTTGCTGACGAGTGCTAAATAGCTCGAAACCTGGGTCCAGGGTTTCCTGCTGATTACCTCCAACCATCATGTAATCTCAACCTAGTGCACGCAATGTTGAGTCATCTAAAATAGTGGCCATATTGCAACTTGGTCGATAGAATTCGATCTGCACTAATAATATGGACTTGACACACATGACATTGATCACCACCATCCAGTCATTAATCGATTGTGAATAATTCTTAACCAGTCAGCTTGCAACCAATGTAATCATGCATGGAATATACTTTAATTCAGTCTATGTACCACTAACAGAAATTCATGCCCCGTTGTAGAAATCATCACAAATATGTATCTATATTATTACTTAACTAGAGAAGATTATAATTGAAATAAATCCTACAGATTGTAATCCATCCATCAACAATCACATGTGATTTATATTATCATAAACTTATTTTGCTTTTTTGAAATTAGTTTGAACGTTTACGTACACGTATCATGCGTATTGTATTCGCTGTAATATCTGAAACTCAATTCAATACTAAGAAAACATTAGAAACTTCATCTAATAAGAAAGTTACTATCAATTCTGAATCCAATACCCAATCTATGGATAATAATCAGGAAGTATCAAATGAGAAATCACCACCACCACCACCATCATCATCGTTATCATCATCAATAGACAACGTGGATTCATATCAAAATATAAATCATAATGAACAATTATTAGATCGTATACAATTTCTAGCTGATGATTATAAACGTTTACAATATGAATTACAAGTTAATAATTCAATAGATAATCAAATGAAACAACAAAATAAAACAATTGAAAATGAATTAAATGAATTTATTCATGTTTATATAGAAGCTCAAGTATGAATTGTTTTATTATTAAATGGTTATTGATTTGATTGATCGATTGATTGATTTGATTGATTGATCGATCGGTTGATTGATTGACTGATCGGTCGACCAGTTGATTGATATTGTTATATATAGAAGCTCAAGTATGAATTGTTTTATTATTAAATGGTTATTGATTTGATTGATCGACTGATTGATTGATTTGATTGATTGATCGGTTGATTGATTGACTGATCGATCGACCAGTTGATTGATATTGTTATATATAGAAGCTCAAGTATGAATTGTTTTATTATTAAATGGTTATTCATTGATCGGTTCATTGATTGATTGATATTGTTATAAATGGTGACTTTGATAGTTTAACATCATATAGAAATTTCGAGGGTATTTTGTTCTTTGAGCTAGATCATTTAATTGTGATACTTTCATTTTTCTTCTAAACACCATTATCAATATGTACTTTAATAAGAAATGAGCTTTTAAAAGTGGAGAAAATTTGTAGCTCAGGTGGATGATTTTGATGGAGTTTTGTTCTCTGAGCTAGATGGTTAGGTCGTGGATCTTTCATCGTTCCTTTAAAAGTTTTCCACTCATAACTAACCAATTGTTTTGATTATTTGGAATTTGATATATATATATATATATATATATATATATATATATATATATATATATATATATATATATATGGTTTTTGTTTATTTGTTTGTTTGTTTCAATTGTTTTCTCTGTAGATGACGCTTATGATTGATAGATTTGATCGATTACAATTTCCATGGTTTTCTAGTTGTCAAGATTCTAATGAAGCTTAGGTTTTCTGTTTGTTTAATCTGTTCAATATTTTACAGTCGAGTTTTTGGACATAGTTGTTTTCATGAATTGATGTGTTATATCTTTTAGCAACTAAATGGTATTTATGTGAGTGAAGGCAAAGAGAATAGCCAATCTGTTACTGCAATTTATCTTGTAGATGAGGTTTAGTTTGTCATTGACTGTAATTGTATCCTATGATTTGCATAATATTGATTACAACAATTTTATCGTTTTGTAGGCTAAACCTATTTCTATGACCTTTATTAATCTGTATGAACTGAAAGCTTAAAAACTAAGCTATCCAGCTACAAGAACGCAACCACCCCTTGATACTTTAATATTGAAAATTCCCATGCTGTGAATTAAAACATCATACATTTTAAGCGAACATTATTATTTTCAGTTCGGTTTTTATAAACCTTAAGTTTAATAAATAATAATACTTATATCCATGTATGAAAATATCGAACCAATCAAGTCAGGTTATGAGTCAGTGATAGCAATACTTAATAAGTTACCATCGCCTGTTACCCCTTGTAGAGGAGCTTAAGTTGTCAACTAGGATTTTCGAACCATCTCTATCTTTGTCTCTCTTTTCCAGTTGTTTCCAATTATTATTCATTTTTCTTATGTATGCCTCCAGTTGCAGGAGCAATGTGTTCCTTGATCTTTATGTTTTCCCTTTCCCTTCATGATTCCAAGTTAGAGCTTGTCCCATAATGCACTTTAGTGGTTTCTGCAAAGTATTTCCTATCCACTACCGGAGTCTTTTACTAATTTCTTCCTCAACTGGTAGCTGGTTTGTACTCTCCCACAATAGGTTGTTGCTGATGGGATCCTGCCAATGGATATTGAGTATCTTACATAGATAATTGTTGATAAATACTTGTACGTTTTTGATTATAGATGTAGCACTTCTCCAATTTTTAGCTCCATACAGTAGAACTGTTTTGACATTTGCATTGAAGATTCTGAATTTGTTATTAGCTTGCAGACAGTTGTTTTCAGTTCCATATTTTAATCAATTGTAGGAATGCTACACTTGATTTTCCAATCCATGCCTTCACATCTGTATCAGATCCCCCTTGTTCAACGCTGATGCTACCCAGGCACCTAAATCCTCTCACCTTTCTTCAGAGTTTCTCCGTCAGATATGATTAGATGGGTGCTCTCTGTTTTGCATCTCAGAATCTTTCTTTGTGTCTTGTGTATGTTGAGGCCTACTACTACAGAGCCTATGCTGTTACACTGGTTGTCCTCACTTGTATTTGTTGGTGAGTTCGGGATAGAAGGGTCATGTCATCTGTGAAGTTTGAATCGTCTAGCTGCACGCCATTTGTCCACTGTAGTCCATTCAACGTAACTCATAGATTATAGTACAAAGTACAATACAACACTTGGTGCAAAAATGAACAATACATAACATTTTCCATTGAAAAATTAATAATAATACTTAGTTGAAAGCAGTGTCAATGCTTACTTAACCCCATTTCAATGATGTCCGACATCGGAAAAGTATCACCAGTAGCAAAAGGTAATTATCACTCAATATTGGAAGTTTAGAACGTGAACCACTAAATTTAAATCGTAGTTTAGTTCGAACTTTAATCGCTCTCTGTAAGGGTCTGTAGGTCTTCTGGAGCGATGATGGAGTTCCAATACAGAAACGCCCTATATTATTGTCTGTTTCTTTACCAAGCTGTTGAGCCAGGATATTAACGAAATAATTTACCTGCTAGCAACTGTGTACTGTATAACCAAGTTGTAAATACAAACAATCGTTTAAAAAGTTACATTGTAAGAAAGATTGATCAGTGCCGTCTTGAATATTAATAAACGAAAACATTTATCCGTACAGTTGATAATAAAGTTTTATTGCTCCCATTTTTACTTAGCAAAACATGAAAGATACACCCAGATTTCGTTCTTCGTTACGACTAAAACAAGATATTGAGTTATTAGCTGCTTATGTTCCAGCTAGTGAAATTTTAAAACGACTCCAACGTATCCTACTGGACGATTTACAGGATCAGGTGAATACACAACAACGTCTCGAAGATTGTGTACAAGAAGCTGTTGGGACAATACAGTCACAGAATACTGGTAGGTTCCTGTCCTATCACTGTTTCAATCACTTAAATAACCCTTAGAACTTCTAGTAACTTAGATCCGTCAAGTACCTTTCCGTTTTACCTTCATCGTGGACCATTTATCATCGGTAATCAATAGAATGAATTAATGATTGAAAATCAAAAGATACCGCACACATACTATGAAACAACGTATATTAAACACATCTTAGATCATTCATCTGGTGCAGGTCGCCTCGAAATAACCTTAAATCAAAAGCATTATCAGCAGATATGGGTGGTGACTAGCAGTAGAATCTAGGACTCACACTTTGTCCTATATGGGACTCGTCGCTGGATATACCTGCACACGAAAGTTGATGTTCACTCAGACTCCAACTCAGTACCTTTTGCTTCAAATGTCATCGCGTTATCCATTTAGCTAGTAAATCCAGATATCCATTTGCTTATGCAATCGGGTGAAGTTTTAGTTCATTTTTTCATTGTTTTTTATAATCTTCCCATCAATGTAAATCCAACTGACAATTGTCAAATAAAAAGAAACGCACATCTTGGATTCTATCACTAACGACCATTCATCTTTACTTTTAAAAACATTTTATTTATGAAAAGAACCTTCACACCTTATCATTCAATGAAGAGTGTTATGGTTATGAAAAGAACTATGAATAATAGAAGATGATTATAAACCTAACTAATGAATAGTTCATTCATCAAATAACTATCATCATTTGTTATTCATAATCATTGAAATTTAATCAATAGAAAGAGATTGACTTAAAACATTATATGAATTACAATCGTTCAATTTTATGATTAACTTTGATTAACAATTAACATCAATTAAGATAGTATTGAACATCATTGATGATCACTGGCTAACTACTTCATTATTGTCTTGAACTCTTTTACAATGAATATTTACTACTTCGATAACGATCAATAAAACAAGGACAAAAGTAACTTCCATGGAAACAACGTAAAATAGTCCAAAAAAAAGTATCAATCGCACAATAAGAAATGAAATTTTCTTTCTTTCTTTCTTCCTACCTTCTTTCTTTCCATATTTTACTTTGAATTCTAAATATCAGTAGTCATGCTTAAATTGAATGCTTTAAACTATATATATATATATATATATATATATATATATATATATATATATATATATATATATATATATATATATATATCTGGCTTATATTGAACTGAGCAATTAAAGTGTAAACAGTAGTCCAATGTGAAACTAATGACCTGATAATTATCATTAGGAACCATTATTTTCAGTGAATTTAAGGATAGTTCCGGTTTAAGATTACAAGTTTTTCAATTTAATTTAAACTATTCTGGATACTATGTGAATTGAGTTATATTCCACGTAAATGAAAAGCGATCAGATTATCATTTTTAGACGATCATTGAGCAACATTAAAATGACCTTAAATATGTTCACCTACTTACTATGGTTAATTTAAGGGTTATATATTTCTGTGATGAATCAAGATTAGGATTTAAAGTTGAACGTTATAGTTAGAAATTAGATTCATGATAGGGTTTTATTTTCTAAGCTAGATGATTTGGTCATTCTTCTGAACGATATCATTAGCATCTATATTTTGTTCTCATGATGTCGATCAAAAGAACGATTAAAACTCTACGACCGAATCATGCAACTCAAAGAATAAAACTCTATCAAAATCATCTACTTGAGTTACAAATCTTCACCATCATCTCAATGCCAATTTATTCAAAATACAATAGAATAGAATCGTACAGTATTAGCTTACTGTGTTACGTCATTTGTTATATATAGTGCTTAGATACTTGATATAATGCGTACAATACAAAGGGTTATTAGCATTTTTCCAATAGGGAAGTTACATGTCAAGATTCTAGAATATTCTTCTAAAAAATGATTGGATAAAATTTCTTTAGCTCTTTCTGACTTTTTTCTCAAGTTTACCTATGAACTGTTATATCTTAAAGGCTGATTTCTTGATATACCGCGTATAACAGAGCACTAGAACACTAAAACGCCTCCAAGTCGCAAGAAGAAGACAGAAGACTAACGAAAGGAATATTATTCCAACAGTGTTCATTATAGTGCTAAATTGTCAGGTATTTATAGTTTTTAGTAAGAACGAAATCATCATTACAGTCCACCTATCCGCGTTCATGGGGTTATTAGCACTGACCAATCAGGAGGCTACATGTTGGAATTCTAGAATATTCTTCTGAAAGGTGATTGGATGGAATATCTTCGGCTCCTTCTGAGCCTCTTACAGCTTCCTCGAGTTCACTTGCGGTCTGTCGTCACATGAACTATCCTTACAACTATCGTTCCCTATGATTAAATTCTAACATTAATTTGCATAGAAACATTACTCTTGTTTATCTTTTTTATGTTTATTTTGATTTCCATATTAATATTACATTGAATAGATATGTTACATATCATTAATCGTCCAGATGATTTAGTGAATACAATAAGACATTTAGCTGAATTAACAACCATAATGATACAACAAAAAACGGATTTATTAAAACAAATAAAAATGAATGAAATGGAATATCAAGAAGAACTTCTTAAAACTAAATCACTTATTCAAAATGAATGGAAAATGATAATGGATGATAAAATAACTAAATTAAATTATGAAAGTAAGTTATATTATTGTAATGATTGTAATGTGAGTTGCTATGTCAGGTCTATAGAGATTATTCCAGTTTCTGGAGAAAACTAATCTATTCATTTTTATTAGTATAGGGTTGTGAAGATTGTTAAGTTTTTGATTGAGATCATGAACCGGTTGATGTTAGACCACTATTGAAAATCTAACTCGCTTGAGAAACTGTAACCAGTGGATCTAATCCATGTCAGGTAGAGATAGGTATCTACCTCAGACAATGGAAGATGGTCGCGCAATTCTATGGATTGGTTGAGGTTACATATTGATACCGTTGAAATCTAACTTAGTGGTTCGAGACCAAAGGCCCTGGGTCCGAATCCCGCGGGCGGAATTGTGGATGCGCACTACTGAGGAGTGCCACAATAGGACGAAACGGCTGTCCAATGCTTATAGGTTTTTAATGGTGGTCTGACATCAACCGGTTCATGATCTCAATCAGAAACTTAAATCTCCACGACCCTATACTGAGAAGCTGTTGCTCTGTAAACGAACCTTGCATGTGAATCTTATCCGCATCATTGTGAAAATTTTCATAGTCCTAACTTGTCATTTTAAGTTCTTTGGAAAAAAACAAGAAACCCTTGGATAGAGACAATTCTAAAAACACCAGAGAATTTTTAGAAGCTTGGCACATAGTTCAATCAGCAATCAACAAACACACTGAATTATCAGTATAGGATTGTGGAGATTTTTAAGTTATTTTTTTGAGATCATGAAACGACTGATGTTAGACCACCACTGAAAACCCGGGGCACTTCTTGGCCATCTCGTCCTACTGTGAGAATCCTCAGTAGTGCGCATCCACGATCCTCCACCGAAGGGATTCGAATCCAGGGCCTTTAGTCTCGCGCGCAACCGCTTATCTTCTAGACCACTGAGTCGGCATCTAACGGTGTTAATGTCTAACCTCAACCAATCCACGAAATTGCGCGACCATCTTCCATTTTGTACTAAGGTAGATACCTGTCTCTACTCGATCCAATTTATTAGCCAATTAGAAAAATTATAGACAAATATAGGACCAGAAATCAGTTCAATGGGAGATACAACCAAACTAAAAAAGTAAACAACGACAGGTTAAGGGTCAACAATAACTAATCAACATCGAGGTCAACAGGATAAGCTGTGAGATATATGTGGAGAAATTCGAACACTTCACTTCTACCTGAAGTTTGTGCTGGTGATGATGTTGTTCAGAATAACGATGAAAGCTCCACAACCAAACCATCCAGCTCAGAGAACAAAACTTCATCAAAGTATACCCAAACCAACTGATAATCATTAACTTTTTCCATAAAAATAGCATGTTACTAATTTTCCTTATAATAAAAGTATTCTAATAATAATACTTATTTTAGTAATATTAATAATGTTACTGACTTTCTTGTCTAATATTATTTAACTACCATACTTCATTAAGCCTTAAACACTAGAATAAATGATGAAGATATTTTTCCGTCCAATTAATCTAATTACAATCTGATCGTACAATGTTGTTCACATTCCAGTTACCCTCAGATATAATTATCGATTTCATCCATATTGAATAAAATAAGTCATATTATAAGAGAGTAAATTTTGATCACACAAATTTCATATACTTATTGAATGAAAATTAAGAGAACGAACTGATAAGTAAGACAAATCGTTTTGATAAAGTGTAATTTAAAATTTCTATCCAAAAAATAGTAAACTAAAGACGTGATGAATAGAGTAGATGATGGATGATGCATGTGTATGCGTTCATATAGAAACGAGCAAGGTTAATAAGTGAATAATTGATACGGTCAAAATGCAACCCAAGAAAAATGAATTAATTGGTCTGTCCATAATCTAAAATAACTCATTTGAACTTGACATATCACTTGCTTAGTTAGTTACTTACGCCTGTTACTCCTCGTGGAGGAGCATAGACCGCTCACCAGCACCCTCCATACAATTCTGTCCTTGACAATTCTTTTCAGTTACTATTCATTTTTTGATGCTTGCTTCCAATTCCCAACGTATTGCCTTCTTTAGCCATACTGTTTTCCGTTGCCCTTTAGGATTCCATGTTAGCACTTGCCTTGTGATGCAGTTTTGTGACTTCCGTAATTTATGATTATTTCCAACGTCTTTTCCTAGTTTCCTCCTCAGCCGAGAGCTGATTTGTCCTCTCCCACAGTAGGCTGTTCCTGATGGTATCCGTCCAACGGATATTGAGTATTTTCCGTAGACAACTATATATAAATACTTATACCTTCTTGGTATAGATTTAGCCTAATATATTATTTTTCCATTTAGCACAAAAGAAACAAGCGAATACTAAACATTCTTATGATGTTGATTTAAACAATTGAAGAACTTTGTGGTTCATTACATTAATCATCATAAAACTGTATACTATAAATCCATTAAGAAACTACAATAATGTTTTATATTTACTTTTATAGATGCAGATAAAATTCAGAAAGCTGTTGAAGAAGTTGCACGTGTGGAAAGTTTACGACAAGAACAATTACTGTCTGTTAAAGCAACAATCATTGAAGAACTTGAAAATAAATTACGTGAAACTCGTCAAGTAAATCAATTTAGTATAATGAAACATTTCATGTAAATATATAGCTCAGTCGAAAACCTACACATGTATACATAATCAGATAAGGGTTTTGTGGAGATTGTAGTAATTTAATAACTGAATTCATGAGAACGGATCTTGCGGGGCAGGGTCGTGAATGCGCTTTGTTGATAAGTCCCTTACTAGGACAAAACGGCCGTCCGCTGCTTCCACGTTTTCCATGGTGGTCTAGCTCTAACAGATTCATGAATCCAAATATTAAATTATATATATATATAAGCATATTATTTCTAACAGAAATCTGAAATTTATACTGTGTAATACTTTAGTCAAACAAGTCACTTATCTTGTAAAGGAGTCTTGATTAAGATGACTAAACGTTTGCTAGCCAGTGGTGATTGAAAAATATTTCTATCTAAAATTACTAGATTACTTTGAAGACTATTGAATAATGAATTTAGTAATCATGAAACATATTTTGAGGTTTAATTCATGAGTCAATTGAAGCTAGACCACCATGGAAAAGCTGTAAACACTGTACGGCCATTTCGTCCCATCGTAGGACTCCTCAGTAGTGCGCATCCAAGATACAGCCTCACAAGATTCAAACGCAGGACCTATCCACAAAATTTCATGGATCGATGAAAGTTCAACATTAACACCGTTGGATGTTGGTCGGCTCAGTGATTTACAGGTTAATTATTCGCGTGCGAGACCCTGGGATCGAATCCCGCGAGCGAGGTCGTGGATGCACATTGCTAGGGAATACCATACTATGATGAAACGTCCGTCCAACGCTTCCAGGTTTTTCATGGTGGTTTAGCTTTAATGAACTCATGAATTCAACTGTTAACTTACTATAATATCCATAAAACCTCTCTCTGATTATATTTTTAAGTGTCATTTGCTTAAAATTAATACAGTACATACAACTTGTTGTCTCTGTAAATATACATTTATGTTTAATCGCCTGGTGAGTTGAAATGTAGAATCTCCCGTAAAATGTAGAAACAGAGTTGGTTCATCTGGTAATTTCTAAGCTAAAAAATGTGTTCATCTTTCAACATAACATCAACATAAAGATGATAATATATATTAAGACCTGAATGTATAACATCGAACTTGCAAATTTTATCACAGAGTAAAAAAAATTCAAGCTTAGATATGACGTAAATCATACAGTGAACAAGTACGTTTTTTAAAATAACCACAGAATGTTTTCCAATTTGTTTACTTGATATTTGTTAACTACTGAAAAAGTATTTAAGTAGTAAAGATTTGCAGAGCTATCTGCTCAATGCAGCAATGGAGACTTGACATTTATTTTTTGATAGTTATAGAAAAGTTAGAAATATTATGTTAGCAATAGTGTAAAATTAAGATATTGTGTCCTTTTATCAGAATACTAGATATTACTCAATTTCGAGAAGTAAATTTAAGATTATCAATTCAACTTTTCTTCTCAAGGCTAAATAAAAATGTCAGGTACAAATTGATTTAAGTGAAAAATTCATCGAATCAAGAAACAGTATTACATTTCCATATCTGAAGAAGAGATCGTTAAAGTTATACTCCGAATCTCAACACAAGCTCTCTTTATCTTCATCATTTGAGAAACCAGTCATTCTCAATGTTAGACCTGATAGAAATGAGCATCAACCCAAATTGACACATTCAATCATCAGGGAAGTTTAATGTAGTCGAGATAAACTGAAGCGTGGTAAAAATAATGGTAATATCAGTGATAGCAAGAAATACTGAACATATTTCTGAATAAAGGAGTAATATATAGGTATAAAGTATACAGAACTACTTTGATCTTTAATAACCTCACTCAAGATCCCCAGTATTTCATCATAATTTCCTTCTGCAAATACTATCGAGGCTTCAACAAATAGCCACTGACTTCATGAATTAATGCCACATGTTAATTTGGCCATTCTTAGATTTCATATAACCTGCTCTTATATTAGCCAGCATTAGATATTAACGATGGTGGTTTCTGTTTTCATTCAACACACATCATTGCTAAAAGAATCTTTTTCCTAGTCATTTATCGTTTCTTGATATAACCATAAAGGAGTTAATGCATCAACTACTTATGTTATTTGAATTTTAAGATTTTAGCCGAAAAGCAAATCGTTCATGAAACTGAATTAAATGAAGCCAAAGAAGCAAGTGAACTTCTACCGAGATTACAACAAGAAATTGAATTGAAAGAAAATCAAATAGAAGAAATGAAATCACAATTAGACCAACAAAATCAAGCTAATATAAAGTTACATGAAGAAATTGAAAAACAATGTGAATTACGTTGGAAATCTGAATTGGACAGTTATAGAGAACAAGTTCGACAGCATGCTAGAACAATATGTGTTATGGAAGAACGTTTAGTCAAACTGACAAAACAATTAAAAGATACTAAGAATGAAGTAACAAAATTCAAACGAACCAATACAGGTAGTTATTTTGAACTATAAGTTATTTAAACAAACAAAGAATATTAGAGCACGAAATTTCTTCCGATAACTTCTTCATTATCTAATCTATCTCTAAGAATCGTACATAAAAATGAATAAAAAATAAGGACTGACGAGTCCAAAATAGGACGAAACGCGCGTATTGGATTCTATTACTGACCATCATTCATCTTTACTTTGAATGTTTTTGAATTAAAACAATATCGTAACAATCCGTACAGTGTACACATTTGCCAAATAAGATACTGATCAATTGCGGTCCTAAACCTCAATATGAAGATTCAAGTAAACAATACCAAGTGAATTCAAAATCAGGACTGTTGTATCCCAGTTGTTATGATGATAGTAATATGTTCTGTTTACCATGAATGATTATTTGCTCTCTATGAAATATAGATCATTTGCATTTTACCATGACAGAGGTTTATGGAAATTGTTGAATTCCATAGTTTTTATCATTGTCTGGTTTTTGTCCTGAGTTCGGTGATGTCGTGGACGCACACTGTCGGTGTCTCATACAAAACAGTTGTTCAGTGATTCTTAGTCTTCTATGGTTGTTTAAACAACATCAATCTGTGACATAAACTTAAGTGTTATTTTAGTATATGTCATCGATGAGAGTATTTAGTCACAGTTAAATCAAGATGAAAGCAATCTTCTTATTGTGAACAGCTTTCTATCAAATAGTTATTCACTATAAAGACAAACTTCAAATCATACTCAACTGAGTCTTATTCAAAATAATATACCAGTATTTGATACTTCATAGGTGTAATCCTATTTATATATGTGTTACTTCATAAGTTTTAGTCACATCTCTGTTATCATACATAGGTCAATAAGTAAATCAAACCTAAATAAACGAGTTCATAAGGATAACTGTTTATAGAGCAACGATCCATTTTCAATCGAAAATAAGACAAAAAACGAACACCATTCAACTATACTGTTAAGTCACGTTAAAATGAATCAGTTAGTCAGCTATAACATAGAGTCAGGCACATATGTGCATCGGTCCAAGTTGTCATACCTCATTAGCACAACAAGATGAACACTAAATTCATAGAAGTAGTTAGTTCAGTGGTGGTAATATATAAAAGAAATACTGCATATTAGGATATAGTACAGGAAGAAAGAATTAGTTAATCGAAAGAAAGATATGAAGCAATTTTAATCTCATAGCTTAAGGGAAGACAGGGAGTGTATACACCTACGCCATTGTGATCGATTCTGAGCCATGTCACCCCCAGTCTCCAACCATTGGTTGAGATAGTCACACGGACCGAATCCAAATAGTCTGCATCTACCAACATGGTTCAGACCAGAAGTCATTGACTACAAGGACTGATACCACATTTTGTTTTGTCCACCCCTAATCAAATGAGTATTATCATAAAATTCATTTGTATCAACTACATTTTATTGAAAATTTTGATTTGTAATTGTAGATTTACAAAGTGAAAATAAACAATTACAAACTCGTTTAACAGACTCTCATAATCGTCTTCAATCTTTACGAGCAAAAACATCAGCACGTCATAATGATGATACAAATAAACATTCTTCTGCATATTCATCTATTGATGATAATACTAATCCTAAATTGGTTGATAATCTAAAGTAAGTTAACGAAATAATAATAATAATAATTAGGCGAGATTTTAATTTATGGACGCCCTTTAAACGAGTCTTAAATGATCTTGAGAACTATTAGCCAATCAAAAAACAGGATAAAGCAAGGGTATCTTATAGAAAAACAAAAAATTAAATTAGATATACTTCTTCTACATAGTTCAAAAACTTGTTAAGATTTGAAAGAGGTTCGGTAGTTCTGAAATCGTAATGCCTACGATAGAGGAAGTCACCGATATGGTTAAATAATAATCGACCTCTGGAACCATGATAAGATCGCAAAACGTCTTTCAGCCTCGACCACATAGCTTCAATATTGTTTGTATGCACTTTGATTGTTGGGTTCACAAAATACCATATGTGGATAACGACACGATAAACATAGCCAAGTTTATGTAAGCATCTGTTTGCTCTCCGATCATCGATCGGACATCAGCATCCGGTACTGAACTTGGCGCTGTGACCATGAAATCCCTCAAACGCTTCCGATTGACTCGTTCATAAATTATAGTCACGCCTAATAGAATTAATAAAATCATATACCTTACAAGTTTTGATTTCTGAATGACTAAACCATTCGGCCTATTTATTTTTTATGTGAACATTGTATGCATTGTATACCATCATCATGTAAGATACGAAATATGGCAAATATAGAATTTGTTTAGAAAATTATTAATGGTGAATAGATTAAAACTTGGCTTTATTTCGTAAATCTATGAAGCTCTAGTCTTTGCCAAGTCAGTATTGTTATAATTTCTGTTTGGGGCATTCATAAGATTGGTATTAAAGGTAAAGAGAATGTTATGAAGTAGGATTAAAAGTTGCTCACATTGAAAAAGCTACGTTCAATCTCTAAGATTCATTCTTCAATTCTATCTATTGTCTTTGAACTATATTTGGATTTTCGTTGTAACTGATAATAACTCCTCTCTTTTACTTGTATTTATTGTTAATTCCATTCCTTGAAAGTTAGAACCTGACACTATTTGATGTAGTTTCGACAGCTTGATAATATTGCTTACGTTCTTATATATAGTGTGATCTAGAAGCAAGAACATAAATAGCACTAGACTGAACAGGAACTGTTCATTTATGTACAAAACATTTAGGGTTTTTATAATATTTTAGATGTCCTTAGGTTTCCCGAAAATTCTGGAATTCTAATAAACATGATAGCAGTATAAGTAATCATGCAATGAAGAACTTTACATATAACTTTTCAATTTCTTGACGTTTCTGGCAAAACTTCTATTGAACGCTGATGGGATAAAATGCTTCTAAGTGTTTTTAGAGCCTGTCATGGCTTTTTATTTGGAGGAGGGGAGTTCTCTGGATCTCCTCAACAACTAGTAGGCTACATTTAAATCGAACCTATAAGGGACTTAACTTATGAATTCCTTCATCATTATTCTATTGTTTGTTGTTACCATTTACTTTTTTGGTATCAAGCAATTAGTTGTCATCCAAATTTTCATTTTATCTTCATAGACTTGAAATAATTCAATTACAAAATATAATTAAAGATCAAACATCTACTATAGAAGTATTACGTTCTGATTTACAAGGTACACAAGCTCAATTAAGTGATATAAAAGGTGAATTACCTGAAATACAAAAAGAAGAAATTGAAAATGTATTAAATGATAATAAAAAAATAAATCAAGAATTATGTAATACTAAGACACAATTAATTAATTTGAAAGATTCATTAGAACAAATGAATGAAAAATTATATGAAAAAGACGAACATATAAAGTAAGTGAATAACTATGATCATTTCCTTTTAATATTTAACTTTTTTTAATTTCACTTGAATCTTCCTATTGAGGTATAAGACTATAATTGATCAGTCTGTTATTGGGATATGTGCATCCCGTGTGGATTGCCTCGATATAGCCTTAGGTCACTAACTGGAGAGTGTTTAGCAGTGGAATCTAGGACGCGCATTTCGTCCTATTTGGGACTCGTCAACTGTGTGTACCTGCATCGCAGAGTTGATGTTCATTCTGGGACTCAAACCCAGTACCTTTCGCTTCAAACGCCATAGCGTTATCCACTCAGCTACTGAGTCATGATAGCCACTTGCTTGTGCAATGGGGTGAATTTGAATTCACTTGGTATTATTTGGCTCGTATCTTCCCATTGAGGTTTAAGACTGCAATTGATCAGTCTGTTATGGGTATATGTGTATACTTTGCGGATTGCCTCGATATAACCTTAAGTTACAAGCTTTTTAAGCAAACATAGATAGTGGCTAGCAGTGGAATCTAGTTTGATGCGCGTTTCATCCTATTTGGAACTTGTCAGCCGGATGTGCCTGCATCGCAAAGTTGTTGTTCACTTTGGGTCTCCAACCCAGTACAGTTCGGTTCAAACGCCATCGCGTTAAGATTGATAAGTTATAAAAAGAAATTTTATTGATTCACATACTTTAGGTTGTTTTTTGTTTATTTTGGTTAGCGATCTCGTTTAGCGAAATTGTTTTCTACAGGATAGATTTGTTGACCTCATACCCAATCCTTCTCCTTTACTCGGGATTAGGACCGGCAATAGTCTTAGAAAAGCGACAGATGCATCCTAAGTAAGGACCGGAGTCAGAAAAGGTTGCTTACTTTCTCCGTTTCATTTTCTTCTGGTGGTCGACTGGATTATAAAACCCTAGACGTCTGAGAGAAAACACGAAATATAATGGACGGTTCGGAATCATATATAAGATTTGGACTTCACAGTTGACTTCATTCTATCGTATACACACCAACAAATGCAGATAAAGAAACAAGAGTAGCAGCAATCTTAGCATCAGCGTACACAATGGAAAAACCAAGGTAATCAAATACGAAACGGAGAACATCAACACAATCACATTTGATGGAGAAACGCTGGAAGATGTTTTATCTTTCACATACCTGGGAAGCATCATCGATGAACAAGGAGGTTCAGATGCTGACATAAAGACGAGGATCGGCAAAGCAAGGGCTGCATTCCTACAAATGAAGAACATATGGAACTCAAAACAACTTTCAACCAATATCAAAGTGAGAATCTTCCGTACGAATTTCAAGGCAGTTCTACTGTACGAAGCTGAAGCTTCGAGAATCAACCATCATCAAGAAGGTACGAGTATTTATAAATACTTGTCTACACAATATACTGAATGTCCATTGACCGGATACCATCAGCAACAGCCTTTTGTGGGAGAGAACAAACCAGCTTCCAAATGAAGAGGAAATAAAGATGATGAAAAAATTTGAAAAAGAAGTCGGAAGTGGATAGGACACGTATTGAGGAAATCATCAAATCGAATCCCGAGGCAAGCGCTAATATGGGATCCTGAAGGGAAACGAAAAACAGTAAGAACTAAAAACAAACTTCATCGGAAACTGGAAGTAGACATTAAAAAGATGAATAATAACTGAAAACAACTGGAAAAGATTTCCCAGGACAGGGCTGGATGGAGAATGCTCGTGAGTAGCCTGTGCTCCTCCTTGAGAGTTAACAGGTGTAAGTAAGTAACTTAGTAACATACGTCAGATATAAGTTTGAAATTCGTGCTAAGGCTGTTGTCTAAACGTATAACAAAGGCTTCAGCTCAGAGACAATGAAACTTTACACCTATGGCTTGATTCATGTTAATCACATCGAGTCATTGAATCATGGTTGAATACACAACGATTTATCTAAAAAGATGATAGTGAGTACATAGTTTTTCATCTCATGGTTTTAATTTTGTGTTCAATTTGGTATCCAATAGTTCTTAGTTTAAGAATGCAAAATTACTCTAAAGATTTCCTTCGTAACATTTCATATTAACTGAAGAATAATCTTGAACTATGATAAATGTTATAATGGATAAGTGCTCGCGTGTAGGACTGATAGGTTCTCAGTTCGAATCTCGCGAGGCGAAGTCGAGGATGCGCACTGCTGTGGAGTCTCACAATAGGACAAAACGGCCATTCAGTGCTTCCAGGGTTTGCCATGGTGGTTCAACTTCAATTGACTCATGATCTCAACTATTGAAATCTTCTTTCTTGTTCGACTTTTAGATATTTCAATTGTAATGTTCTGAAATCGATATCTTTCGATTATGTCATATGATTAAGCATATTTATTACATTTTCAATGACTTTGGTCGAGTTTTGTCTTGGTTTGGTCGTGGAGCTTTCATCGTTCTTCTGAACGACATCATCAGCACAAACTTCTGATAGAAATGAAGTGTTCGAATTTCTCCATATGCGTTTCACAGCTTGTCCTGTCGACCCCGATGTTGATTGGTTATTGTTGACCCTTCACTAGACTTAGAATCCTGGCACTCAGGTCAATCAGCAATCAACAAGCGTATTTAAATCAATCCAATTTACCAACGAATCAGGAAAATCATGCACAAACATAGGAACAAAAATCAAACCAATGGGAGACACAACCAAAACAAAGAAGTAAACAATGACAAATTTAAGGTCAATAAGAACCAATCAACATTGAGGTGTATAGAACAAGCTGTGAAACGCATATGAATAAATTCAAACACTTCACTTCTATCTGAAGTTTGTGCTGATGATGATGTAGTTCAGAAGAACGATGAGAGCTCCACGACCAAACCATCCAACTCAGAGAACAAAACTCCATCCAAATCATCCACCTGATCTACAAATCTTCTCCACCATCTCATTTTCAATGACATATTTAAAAAGAGATTCAGCTTTATAATGTGTCTACATGATTTTGATTTTTTTTTAATGTATTTAGAAGACTACAAATTACAATTCAAGAATTAACTAATTCTAAACATGAATATGAATATAAAATAAAACATTTACAAGAGACTATAAATGATGAAAGAGAGAAGTTAGCTCATCATCATCATCATAATGAACCTATCAATGCATCATCTAAATTGACACAAGAATTAATTAATTTAGGCAATGAATGTAAAGGTGAAAGACATCATGAAATTATTGATAAACAAAGAGAAGCATTAAGTCAATTAAGACAACGATTACGTGATCAATATATGTATATATCACCAAAAGGTTAGTTTTGTGAAGTTGAATTTATGAGTTGATCTAAACTAGACCATCAATAAAAACCTGGATACACCATTGAATCAATGGTTTAACTTTGACCAATCTACGATAATGTGACCACCCTGCAGTATCCTCAGTGGATAACTGTCTCATACCTAATGAAATACCTACTCAGTGGTCTAGAAGTTAGGCGGTCACTCGCGGGGCCGGCGATTCAGGGTTTGAGTGTTGAATTCAGGATTGTGGATTCGTACTTCTGACAAGTTTCATACTATGATGAAATGGCTGTCCAATGCATCCAGGTTTTCAATGGTGGCCTTAGTTAAAATTACAGAAATTCATTTTATCATTTACAAAAGATAATTACTAAACTTACATCAATAAATACGGAATTTTCAGTATATAGTACAGTATTTTAATAAGTTCTTCTTGGTCTTTCACAATCGATTGATCACCGAGTGGTGATCAGTGTCATTTGTGTCAGGTCCTTCTTAGTGCAGAGCGACTACTACCAACCAAGTTGCAATGTGGCCACTAGTCTTGGTGACTCGACATTGAGTGCACTTTGTTGAGAAAAAATGATGATTTAAGGTAGTCAACAAGAAACCCTGGGCACAGGTTTAGTTCTATTTGGTACTCGTCAGTAAGATAAACCTGAAATGTTGCATACCTGCAATTCGGCCACTGGACTAATGGCGACATTGCAACTTGGTCGATATGATTTGATCCACACTAAGAAGGACCTAACACATGACGTTGATCACCACCCAGTGGTTAGTTAATTGTGAATGCATCTCAGTTCTACAGGAGGTTAGTCGAGGCCTGGATAGCCCAATGATAACGTCTCTGACTGTGAAGCTCGGTGACACGGGATCGAGTCTATCAGGGAGCATAAGTTCCCTCAATATTACAGAAACGTCTTGTTGACGAGTGCCAAGTATCACGAAACCTGGGTCCAGAGTTTCCTGTTGACTACCTTCAACCAATATCTTATCTTCTTAGCCTTCTCATATTTCACAAAAAGATACGTATACATACCATTTACATGAAATAAGCAAATAAACTTGTAGAAAATCTTTAATGAAACCCTTATAACGAATTAAGTATTTATACAACAGATTAGGCGAGGCCTTAAAACCCATTCTATTCATTATAGACCTTTTGTACTTTTGTTGGTGTACATAGATTCTAATGTATCTGAATTTCCTTCGCCCAATGAGAAAGATGTAAATGAAGTGGAAATTTTAAATCTGATAAATGAACACCTAGTTAATCACAAAATTTCAAGTGTCTATCGACAGCTACAGTGATAATAATATCAAAACATTTATCATTTACCATAATAATTGTCTTCAATACTCTAGGTTACTAGACGAAACGTTTTTTCAGAGGTCCAGGAAAACGTTATGCGGCACAGCATTAAATAATCTGTAATATATAGGGATTTAATAATCGTAACATTGTTGCAACCAAATGTCCTGGTACGGCCAAGAATGGGGAGAGTCAGCTCTGGAAATGCCTTTACATGGCCACGTGCATACAAACTTTGACAGGGAAATTATACTCACTGCCTTCTCGCAGCGCGGGTGTTTTTTATGGAATTGAGAAGACGAAAAGCGAATGTTAGGTGCTTTAACCGGGTTGATGGACACGGAGGATCCATATAGAGAAGTTGAAAAACCCTGATTCCAAACAAATGATGCACATGGGCTCCAGAATCCTAAGGAAACGAATGGCGTATGAGCCTATTTTTAGTCACCGACCACCATGGGACTGCATCTCCTTACGTTTCACTACTGCCTTGCAGATTAAACCTTTAGGTCAAAGGCTCCGAGTGTGGCCCTTTAAGAAAACCACCTTATTCGGTTTGAGCACCCGGGCAGTATTACAGCCCTCACATGAACCGAATGATTTATGTGACGCATATCTATTTGGTGTCTAATTGTACCAACATTCATGTGTTTAAATAAAACAAAATATGTAGGGATTTATAAATGGTAAAATTATTGAGAGATTTTACTCAAGTTATTACTATTATTTAAATTTACAGGTAATACAGAAAGTGATGAATTAATCCTTCAAATTTCTAAACTTAAACGCGAAAATGCTGAATTACGTAGCAAAGCAGTACTTGCTGAAGTAGTACCATCAATAAAAGCATTAACAAATAATTCTACTCTCGCATTGATTGACTTCAAGAATGGTGATGATGATCAAGTGACTGGTCAAAAATCAGCAAACATGGATCATATTGGTTTGAGAAATGCAATGGATGCTTTATACGTTAGTTTTGTTTTTTAATTCATTGTCTAACAAATCATTATGATTAGAGGAGGCTTTTGAAGTTTGTTCACTTTGAAGAGTGTTAGCCGTTTAGAAGTGAACACTTAAACCATTGAATCAAAACTTCAAATACCGTGGTATTGCTGAGAGTGGGGAAAGTCAACTCTCATTCCCGAAGTGCTCTCAATTGGCCACATGCATACGACCACTACGAGGGAAGTCCTACTCACTGTCTCCTCGCGGAAGTGTTGTTTACGAAATTATTACCATTATAACTTACTTACGCCTGTTACTCCTCGTGAAGGAGCATAGGCCACTCACCAGCATTCTCCATCCAACCCTGTCCTGGGCAATCCTTTCCAGCTCCTTTCAATTCCAATTCATCTTTTTCATATCTGCTTCTATCTCACGACGTAATGTGTTCCTTGGTATTCCTTTTTTCCGCTTCTCTTCAAGATTCCAAGTTAGCGATTGCCTCGTGATGCAGTTTGATGATAGGCGTAATGTATGTTCTATCCATTTCGATCGTCTTTTCCTAATTTCTTCTTCAGCTGGAAGTTGGTTTATTCTCTGCCACAATATGTTGTTCCTCATGGTATCTGACCAATGGATGTCAAGTATTTTGTGTAGACAACTATTTATAATTATTGTACCTCCTTGATGGTGGTTGTTGTAGTTCTCGAAGTTTCAGCTCCGTACAGTAGAACTCATTTGACATTCGTATTGAAGATTCTCAGCTTGATATTGGTTGAAATTTGTTTTGAGTTCCATATGTTCTTCAATTGTAAGAATGCGACCCTTGCTTTGCCAATCCTCGCCTCTTTGTTCATCGATGATGCTTCCCAGGTATGTGAAGGATTCTACATCTTCCAGAGTTTCGCCATCAAGAGTGATTGAATTGCTGTTCTCCACCTTGAATTTGAGGACCTTGATTTTCCCTTTGTGTATGCTGAGGCCTACTGATTCAGAGACTGCCGCCACACTGACTGTCTTTGTCTGCATCTGTTCGTGTGTATGCGATAGGAGGGCTAGGTCGTGTGCGAAGTCCAAATCGTCTAATTGATTTCGAGCTGTCCATTGAATTCCGTGTTTTCCTTCAGATGTCGAGGTCTTCATAATTCAGTCGACCACCAGAAGAAAAAGGAAGGGAGAGAGTAAACAGCCTTGTCTTACTCCGGTCCTTACTTGGAATGCATCTGTCAGCTGTCCTCCATGCACGACTTTGCACTGTAGTCCGTCGTATGAGTTCCGGATAATGTTGACAATCTTCTCAGGAACTCCGTAGTGTCGTAGAAGTTTCCTTAATGTCCTCCTATCCACACTGTCAAATGCTTTTTCATAATCAATGGAGTTGATGTATAGTGATGAGTTCCACTCAACTGATTGTTCGACGATGATCCGTAGTGTTGCAATTTGGTCTGTGCATGATCGATCCTTACGGAATCCAGCTTGTTGATCTCGAAGTTGGGCGTCTACTGCATCTTTCATCCGGTTCAGCAACACTCTGTTGAAGACCTTCCCTGGTATTGACAGCAGTGTAATGCCTGTATAGTTTACACATTTGCTCAGATCTCCTTTCTTTGGAATCTTGACGAGGTGCCCTTCTTTCCAATCCATCGGCACTTGTTCCTCCTCCTAAATCTTTTTGAATAGAAGGTAAAGCATGTTTGTAGTTGCTTCGATGTCTGATTTTAGTGCTTCAGCTGGTATGTTGTCTGGACCCGCTGCTTTCCCGTCCTTGATTTGTCCGACGGCCATCCTGATTTCTTCCTTCGTTGGTGGGTTGACGTCTATGGGAAGATCTGTGTGTGCCGTTTCGATGTCCGGTGGATTCATTGGAGCCGGCCTATTTAGGAGTTCCTCGAAGTATTCTACCCATCTGTTCCGCTGTTGTTGAATTTCGGTGATTGGCTTGCCTTCTTTATCTTTGACCGGCCTCTCTGGTTTACTGTATTTCCCTGCTAGTTTCCTCGTTGTATCTTAAAGTTGTTTCATATTTCCTTCTCTTGCAGCCTCTTCCACCATCTTTGCGAGTTCTTCCACGTATTTCTGCTTGTGTACTCAGCTTTTGCTCATACTTCCTCTGCTCGTGTTCGGCTGTTGTTAATTGCTGTTCTCTTGTTCTTCCTTTCTTTGATCCTGTCCAATGTTTCTATAGAGATCCATTCCTTATGATGATGCTTCTTTAGGCCCAGCCTCTTGACACGTTGATGTCAATGCCTCTTTGATACTTTTTCTGTTGTCCTCCATAGTAGTTTCTCCTTTCAGTAGATCTTTTAAATCTTGGAACCTGTTGTTGAGAGCTATCTTGAATTCATTGAGTCTGTCAGTATCTCGAAGGAAGGCTGTATTGAACCTTTGTAGTGCTGTTTGTCCAGTTGTCCAGTTCGTTTTTAGCTTCAGTTTTAAATTGGCCACAACTAGGTGGTGATCTGAAGCTACGTCAGCGCCTCTCCTGGTTCTCACATCTTCCATTGTCCTTCGGAATTTTTTGTTGATGCAAATATGATCTATCTGGTTCTCTGTAGTGTGATCCGGTGAGATCCATGTAGCCTTGTGTATACGCTTGTGTTGAAATATTGTGCCCCCTATGAGCAATTTGTTGAATGCACATAGATTTGCAAATCTTTCTCCATTTTTGTTTTTCTGTTCCAGTCCATGTCGTCCCATAATATCTTCATATCCGGTGTTGTCTATTCCGACTTTGACATTTAGATCTCCCATTAGAATGGTGAGGTCGTTTCTTGGGCATTTCTCTATGATTGACTGCAGCCGCTCGTAGAACTGATCTTTAATGTCGTCGTTGCTGTCATTTGTGGGTGCATAACTTTGGATTATATTCATTGTGATACCTGTCTTCTTTGTTTTGAATGATGCTTTGATGATTCGGGATCCGTGAGATTCCCATCCTACAAGTGCATTGCGTGCTACTATGGACAGCATTAGAGGAATTCCCTGAGTGTGTGGAATATTGTCCTCTTCGTGGCCGTTGCTATTTGACTGATCTTTCTGGTCTTCCATATTGACCGGACGTTCCATGTACCTATAAAAATTGTTGCTCTGGTTTTTAGAAAAAATCATCGGCCTCGTGGCTTTCTAAAGAACTCGGCTTACACCATGAGGCGTCATAGTTCTTCTAAATGAAGACCTTCTAACGCCCAGGGTACAGTTTAAATGGTTTAAATTATTTTTTCTGACCAGAGTTTTTTTAGCGAGTTAGTTTTCTGCGGGATGAGGACGCTAAACTCATGCTCAACTCTCCTCCGTTAGCCAGGCTTGGGACCGGCAGTAACTCTAGAAGAGCTATAGGCGGAGTTGTTTTCATTATAAGCCTTAACGAAAAAGTATTAATCGAAAGTGCAGCCAACAAAACGCTTTTATTCTGACTTGAGATTTGTCAACTGAGGGTACTCTCATCTGCCAATGGGAATTCACATATGTCAACAAAGATTGTTTAAAACACATATTCAAATGTCAACTAGGGGATGATAGAATCTCTTACAAACCATTTATTATTCATGGTAATATGATATGTGAAATAATTGTCTCTGTTGTCTATCTTTGGAGCTACTGAACGTTTATAAAAGTCCTTACAATACCAAATTTATCATATGTAAATACTGAATTATGAACATCTTGTTAGTACTTTGGAAGCCCCTGTAATTAATATATTACCTCGGAAAACATATCACTGAAGTCTCACTGAGCACAAAACCACCATTATTCACATATTTGTTCTTAAAAAAAAAGACATTGTTTTACTCTGTTGTGAAGTTACCTACACCTTAATAACTTTTGTAGATATGGTATTCTTAATGAGTAATATTGTTTCTGGTTATTTCGACAAAATAAATTGATGAGATCATGTACATGTTCAAATTTAGTTGGTTGATATGTAAGTCTAATCATAAATCTCATATTAAGCCATATACCATAAATATCGTAATAAGGCTAATTTCTATTCATGGTATACTGCGATACTGTAATTTATGTATTTAATCATTTTTCGTATTCTTATTGAAAATACAAGAATTTTGTGTGAACTGAAAAGTACTAGCATAACAAATTCTTAACATCAGTATTATTGGTCCAAGTACAGTAGAGCTAAGTAATATCAAATATCTGTAAAAATAAACTAAAATCATACATTTTCTGTATTGATAAGTAGTTAAACGCTTTCAGTCATTAAATACTGAATAAAAATAGTCGAGTATCATGGTTGAATCATTTAAAATGTACACACCTAAGCAACTAACGTCTTATATCGTATGATGTATGAGACCAATAATTGACAGATTCAACATAATTATTTTTGATTTTGTTAACAGACTTCAGAAGAATGTTATTTAAATCTAGCTCGATCAATATCAAGTCGTTTAGATTTAGATAGATTACCAGGTCAAAGATCACTTATTCAAGTACCAAAAATAGAAAGGGAAACAGTTAGAAAAGAGCGTCAAAATACAATTCAACTATTATCGCAAAGAATTGAAATATTGAAAGATCAACTTCAACATAAAGAAAATTTACTCAATGAATATGAACGTGATATGAGTCGATTGAAGTAAGCAGATTATCATATTTTATTTATAAATAGTTATGGAAAACAATTCAGTAACTAAGATGGTGGTTGAAGAAAGTCAACAGGAAACCGTGGACCTAGGTTTCGTGCTACTTTGGCACTTATCAAGAAACTTCGCCTGTGGTCTTGAGGGAGCTGATGATCCCTGATGGATTTGATCCAGTGTCACCCAGCTTCACAGTTACAGAGGTTAGCATTAGGCTATTCGAACCTCGACTAACCTCCTGTAGAACTGAGATGTACTCACAGTTGATTGATTACTAGGTTTCCTGATGACTACTTCTGACCAACATCTTGTCTCAACATATTGCATGCAATGTTGAGTCTCCTAGACTAGTATCCACATTGCAACTTGGTCGATAGGATTTAATCTGCCCTAAGAAGGACCTGACACACATGACATTGACCACCACACAGTGACTAATCAATCGTGAATTCAGTAACTCTATTTCAAAAGCATCAATAATTTACAGTTGAAGTTAAATACCATGTTGTAATTAGAGTTTTATAGTTCATTGTAAATACGAATAGAATAAATCTCTTTCCAGCCAGGTAATAAGACCAGTTTGCTACTGTTTCATCGCCATCAGTGTGCACCCGTGATCCGATTAGGGATCAAACCAAGGACCTTCAGGTCTCGAGGCAAAAGGTTAAACTTCGGAATGGCTGAGTAATAGTCTAGTGGTGCAATTCCAACTTTATTAGACTTCCAATTTAATGCTACGGTCACCCAATCACTTTGTCATTTACATCGTAGAACTTGTATTTATGCACACAGGTTCAAGTTGCCACACCCCACCATTATCACAGAGAGATTCAATTGTCAAGCTAAACCCTAGGATTGTAGGGGTAGAAACTGTACTGGTGATGATTTAGAAGATAAGGCATTGAAGATACGACTCAAAAGAATATAAATTAGTGAAAAACACGAAAAACGTTATAAGGAATTGAGAATCTTGGAAGTTTACGGAAAACAAAACGTGGATGCACCTGTGCCTTTGTAAACGATTTATGTAACGTCATTCACTTTCCAACCACTGGTTACGATAATCACGTGGATCCAAACCAGATAGTTCACACCCGCTAACATGCCCCACTGGAGATGTAAATGGCTGCCTAAATTGATTCTGTGCTCTTGTTTAACCATCCCTAGCTTTATTTCAATCAGCCTTACTCCAGACAACATCGCCTATCGAGGTAAGTGGTGATTTAGCATATGTAATACATGTCTCAGTCACCTCGATTGATTATGAAAATTTAATACCTCATCAATTGATTTGCCAATCTTACCTATTACTCTATTCCTATATATCTTATTGGTCCTAAGATATATGACCACTCCTTCCAACACACCTTTGAACGAATACTAGTAGTCTACAAATATCGTCCAGGCTTCACACTCATAAAGTAGGAGAGAGCAAACTGATGAGCAGCAAACTCGTCCTTTGGTTAATAGACTTATATCTCGTCTATTCCACAAGTGATATAGTTTGGCAAAAGCAAACCGAACCTTTAGAATCCGTTCAGAGACTTCGTTGGACACCATAACATGAGGACTAGCGAGCCTTCCAAGACAAGTGAAGTGGTCGACATACTCAATTACTTCACCCCCAATCATTGATTCGGGCGCTGACGCAAGCCAATCCTGAAGCAACACTTTGCATTTGAGAGAAAAGGATGGTATCCCAAGTCGGTTTGCATTGTTACTTAAGATGTTCAGAAGGTTCTGCATTTTGTCACTGTCCTCACCAAGAAAATGTATATTATCTGTGAATTTTAAGCCAACAAGTAAATCTCTTGGTAGAAGACTAACTCCTGAAAAGCCAGACGATAAAATTTTCACTAAGAGCATGTCTGTGAAAAAGTTAATTAAAACTAGGTAACATTGACAACCTCGACGAACCTGTTTTAATGATAATTCTCCATGAGCTCTAATTTGATGATTAATGTTTGGGTAAAAAGTCCGTACAATGCAAATTTTTGATACCTCTTTCAATAACAGACACTGCTCAGAATCCTACAATCAACAGAGTCGACCTGCGCCTTTAAGGTTGATGAATGCAACCATAGTCAGACGTTGTCAGGTATTTCTATGTTCCCAAGTCTCCGGAGACGTGAGTATTTGGTTTATACATCCAAGTCGAAGTCTGAAACTAGTCCGATTTTCTCGGGTTTGCTCTTCGTGAGCTCCAATCAGACGTCTTAGTATTACCGAAGTTAATATTTTAGACACTATATTAGTTCCTTCTTGTAAATTGGGGAGATTGACGATCGAGACCAGTCAGATGGAATTACGTCCAGTTTCCAAATTTAAGCCAAACTTCCAGTTAGTCTAAATGCTAAAACTGGACCACCATCCCTAAAAATCCTAGACCTTAGTCCCTCAGTTCTTGCTGATATCCCTCGCTTTAGGTAAATTATCGTTTTTTAAACATAAGAGTTGTGGACTTATATCGATTTTCCATTCAGGTCGCTTGGAGATAGTGGGTGACCGAAGTTTGGCTGAAGGCCAGTTTAACAGTTAACTAGAGTGTTTTGTCCACTGGTTAAATCTCCCAGATTGGGAATGAATAGTAGTCCCATCTTTTTTCCAGATAGTTTCACTAACAGCCAGGATTTTAATAAGCGTTACCTTGATAAATATAGACAGCTCTCTACTATTATTTAATATCGCTGTCTTTTGATCTCTTTCGTTTTCATTACTCACAACTGTCTGCGACCAATGCGTCGGCTTTTTATTGATCCGCATCCAAGCTTTCTTCGCTCTTCGTCGTCTTTAGAGCAGTATTGGATGAGTTTCCAAGTATCTATAAATTACCTAGACACTGTTAAAATCAACCGATTTTTTTAACTTTTTGATTTAAGTGTCTGATAAATATAACTACTGTTTCCGTAGCTTTGAAAATATCATGCCAAGCTACCAAGCAATGGATGTCACTTTCGTGATTGGCCACCTTCTTCTCCAAGTTTTCCTAACATATATACCCAACTCTATTATTATTAAGGGATTTTATTGGAGTGGATTTTTACGTTCAGTAAAATACAAATAATTACTTGCTCAAAGTGAAGCAAAATTTGTTGTTTGTTAGAAATAGTCGCAACATACGATCGTCATTATCAGTTTTTGGAGCCAAAAGACCATAAAGTCACCAAATTTCCTTTTTGTTTGATTCATTCTACCTACTTGAGAACTGAGATCACTTGTCATTATTTACTAAGTCAGAGCGTCTACTCTTTCAAAGGACGTTGAACAGTTCCCTATAAAATTCATTTCTAACTTCATTTGGTGTGAAACCAGTGCGAGCGTAGGCAGAGACAAGGAAGAGCTGACGGCGTGTGTTCTTATCTTTCAAATTCTTACTCACTTACAGGTAGTGTACAATCGACCGCCTATAAAATTCTAGTCATGAACGTAATGCTACACCTATATAAATTAGGCGACGGAAATTAGCAGTGGCGTTTCCATATACACAAATGCTAATCGTGTCGTTAACAGGCGAGGTCAAATGGATAACTATATTTTGTATCCTGTGTGTGAGTTTTGGGAACTCAAAATACGTCAGTGGCCTGAAATCCTGGAGTCCTAGCTAAAGAAGCCTGCTATCTTATGTAACACAAGATTTAAACATCAAAAGGTCTAACAAATAATTCAAAGCGTAGTGTTCTGAGATCAGGAATTATACGCTTGCTCTCACCTATCAGACTATCTGCTGTAACTTTGTTATCTGCGCTAACCAATAAATAGACTGTATTCGGCGCTTCGTGTTGCCTCCCGGATTTATACATTGTTGACGGCAAAGCTCAAAAAAACGACTGCTTGAGGCTGGTTGCGCATAGACTTTAGCTCGGCACTCCAATAAGCTCAAGTGATGGAGAAGGAAATCCTTGAAGTTATGTCAGGTGTTAGGTTTTTAGGCTTGACTTTTTTCAATCTCCTCCTTTGGATTTGAGTATGTAGCGTCTCTGCAGATGTTAGTTGTCCGAGGCAAACACCTTACTACCGTCACCCTTCTCTACAGTCAGCTGTGTGACTTTGCTAGTGGAACTTAAGTTGCTGCCTCTAGTCTAATCGACCTTCTCGGCACGGTAGGAACTAAGGGAACATGCCTTCTGTCCAATATAACCCGGCTGAATCATCATCACAGGTAATCTCGACCACCACGTCAACGTAACAGTTTCTGTCAGGAAGATCACCTAATGACCACTAATGATAGCTGTTTTATTCATGATATTCCCGGGAAGTGTCATGCTGTGTAGTCTCCTCCGCTTTTCAGCGGCGTTCAAACTGAGACCAATCTTTGACAAATACAATATAATAACTACACCAACCTCCACAAAACTTTAGCTGCATCAATCAAACAATTCTGTGTGCATTTCTATTATTGTAAAGACAAGCTGAAGCATTGGCAGATGCAAAAGGTGAACAATTAGATCAATTCATTAGCGAACTACGCTCGAAAGAAACAGAAATTCAATTATTACGTCAAAGCTTAGATAGGACACGTGAAGCATTATTGAATGAACAACGTTCAGTAGCTGCATTTAAAAAGTCTAGAGTAAGTTTTGATTGTAAACATATGTTAGCTTTTGGTCAATGTATTATTCATTATAATCATACAGCAGGGTATACGAATTAGTACATGAATGCAGGAAACGTCCGTAAAAACATGCAAATAAGTCATATTATATTTAGACCTAATAGGGTAAGTGCATACAAATATTTGATTAGTTGGCAAATACACCATATTAAACAGGCACATTTTGTGTTGTTAACGGTTTGTCAACTGGGTTCACCAACACTTTAGTGATACTTAAATGTTATAGACTTCAAATTATAGATATTTTTAGAATCCATCTTAAAGGAATCGTCAATACTGTTTCAAATATATTCATGCTATTAGAATATGAGATAAAACTTTGACAAAGTCAAGCAGATCAACTATATATTTATGATCATCATTATCTATTTTTTAAATCAAAAACACATAATAAAAACATGGTGCGGCTGAATCTGTCGATCATGATGCTAGCTTTCTTCCAAAACTCTAGATGTTATGAATAACTTATAAAAATAAAGATGACAAGACTAGCATGGAAAAAATATACTTATCACATGTAGATATGTTGAATCTTAAAATAAATGGATTCGCCGTTGAGCAGACACAAGATTCATTCTAATCGGGCAATTGTATACTCAGAAGTGGACCAAGTGAATGATTTCATGCCTTGGTTAGTTAAGTTCATCAGACTTAACAAATTCGGCATCAATATCGAATACCTACTGAATCATTAATTATTTATCACTATGTGCTTATTTTCCATTAGGAGTAATAGGCGTAAGTAAGTAATGTTTATTTAAAATCATATTTGCCATGTCCGATTTAAATTAAAATAGTTTATACTTATGCTTTAGTTGTTTATTTTTCGTGCCAGAATTCAACACCAACTTCGAATTTCAGTTCAATTAAGGTCATTCCCTCGCAGAAGAAACAGCCTCGCCAATCAAACAATGAACAAACCGACAAGGTGATTAATTGAAGTAATATTGTTGCAAATATATATATATATATATATATATATATATATATATATATATATATGTAACAGTTGAATTCATGAGTCAATTGAAGCTAGATCACCATGATAAAGCTGGAATTACTGGACAGCTGTTCCGTCCCAATGTGGAACTCCTCAGCGGCGTTCATTCACGATCCCGCCTCTCGAGATTCGAACCCTCGACCTATCGGTCCTGCGCACAAACGCTTGACCTTTAGACCACTGAGTCGGCATCCAACGATGTTAGTGTCAAACTTTAACCGATTCACGAAATTGCGCCACGGTTCATCATTGTCTTCAGTGAGTTACCACCTCACAACCAGTGGAGGCAACCGGGTGTATCGTGAGAGATCTAAATACGTATAATCTAGTTACTTAATAGTTATACAATAAGAATATACGTAATAACAGTTCATAAATAGTTCCTATAAGTTATTCATAATTTATTGTTCTTTGGACACAACAAATTGCAGCCTACTCACATCTCTCACTTTCATGATCCATATTTCTCAGTTAAATATCTTACCTTCACTACATGTGGATCATATCTTGTGGAACAATCAAGTCGACAATTGTAAAGTTGATTACTCAATATTAAGTGAACTACACGATATAACTGATATATGAGTGACTGGACTGTTAATTCTGCACTCATATAGCTGAACTTAGGATAGCGGACTTTAAATCTAATACATAAATCGGTCGTGCTACATATCTTTGCCATTTTAGCATTCATGCTACATTTTGTTTCAGAATTAATTTTTAACCATTCTTGTTTCTCTGAAACAAACTAGGAACAACGTCAAAGAAAAGCGATTCAAGAGAAATTAAAACGGAAAGATTACGAAATTGACACGTTAAAAAATCAATTAGAAGAGCGCGACAAGAAACTTCAGTTGTTGTCAGATCAGACGATGAAAATGAGGATGCAAATGGTAATGTTTAAAGTTTAAATCATATGATATTTCACTGTTCGCTCCAATATTCTAGGGTTTAGACGATATTTGAACAAGGAAGACACAATTACGGATCGATATTGGACCTAATGTAAATTAACTTTTTACTGGTCAGAGTATGAAACATATTACAGCCCCGTTCAGCAATGTCAACTTCGGTCGTACTTCGTATTTTTCTCATAATTATGAATATTATATACTGCGGATTTACTTATTATTCATGTTAAAATACGTAATAAGTTTCGTAACAATAAAAGATCATCTACTACGAATAAAACAAGTTTTTGTCTTTAGTGCAAGGAATTATGAACCAATACAGTTACGATAAACATGCGTAAAACCTAAATTTCTGTTATCCACATTATTATTTTAATTGAAAATTATAACTACTCATAGAATGAATCAGTCTGTTTTCAATAAGTAATCTGGATAAGTAGATATTTTTATCAAATAACGAAGACAACTTAATTAAAATGTCGTGATACGGTAGTATGTCTTGTAGGTGAATAAATGTAAGTTGGACTATATGAAATATAGTTCTGTTATAATCTATACTCTGTATCTCTGTTTATATTGCAGATTTTTCATAATTATGGGAGGTTAAAGTCTTTGTGCTGATCAACTAAGAAACTTACAGAACAAAAAACTATTTATTCCTGATCTAAGAAATCGACAGAAGAACACCTAGAGTTAATCGTTTTAACAAGGTTGAACTTAAAGTAAATGTTGAGTCTTTTTCTCACAAAAACTTACAGACTGCTCACAAGATGTTTTTGCACGTACCATTGTACATATTTGTTTATCATCTCTCCGTAGATGTTTGTTTAAGTGACAGTTAATGGTTAGGGAAAGCAGGGATGTAATAATAATAATAATAATAATAATTTATTCTCAAATAACAGTTTGTTACATGAGGCATGCCAGTTTACAGGCAAGATCAAATTGATACAAATGATACAATATACACTGCAATAAATTACATAGCTGGGTTGATAATTTATAAGATATGAATGTCGATGGTTTAAATCAGTACTACAGTTGGCGCGCTTCATGAAAGTCGCGTTGCGACTGATGGTCAAGAATAGGTCCATTGAAGGTATGGGCTTCTAAAAATCGCAACCTTATTTCCTTCTGGGATATCCAAGGCTTTAAGGATGGTGCAGGATGAAGTCACCAGTTCCATATCTCAAGGGGACTGAAAGAGGGAGCAAGTAAAAGAAAACACGAGAGGCAGAGTAGCCAATATTCATGAAAGAATGCTTAAGGTATGATTACTCAGTCTAATTTTCCTTTATTAAGGTATATGTTAAGAAAGAGCATTTTAATAGGTTAAAGAAAATAAGTGTTGACAAGGTGTGAGTGGACATACAACTGACAAATGGGGGCGATTCGGAAAAGAGCTGAGAGTATAACATTATGTGTGATTATAAAATAAAATATAGTGCTAGAAACAGTATTGTGATATACATTTGGCTGTCTTCCCTTTAATATCGAAGCTATTAGAGCCTCTTTCGTTTTTTTTTTAAAATATTTTTCCCCCAGTTATTATAGGGTCTTGATTAGGCTTCGTATATTAGCGAATTGTCTAGTTTGCTTGTAATAGGATTTCTAGGTAGGAAGTGAAACAAATTCAACGTTCGTAACACGACTTAAAGAGGTATTTTGCGTGAATAGATCAGCTTCAATACCATAAGTTCGTGGCATCCCACTAAACCATAAGGAGCCGTAATTAAACAAAATGTTCTGCCCTACAGACATGGGTGGATTGAATTTATCTCCCCACCATCATGTTTGCTGGTCAGTAACGCCACCCTCCCTCCTTTTGTGATGTTAGGCTCTCTTACGTTTGTGGTAAGTATGAATACTGCTTTAATCAAAGCCCATAGTTGGAATACACTGTCTCTACTAGGTCCATGTTACAAGCAAATCAGATAGTTAAAAAACTTGTTTTATGGGTTAGATGTCCACATAGTATATCACACTGCTATGAAAATAACTAATGGTTTAAAGAAGTAAGGACTAATAGCAAATCAAAAGATATGAGAGGGTATAAAATCGTAGAAAAAAAAATTTCAGGGTAAGACAAATAAAACATTGAGAAACTCACAAGACGTTGTGGCCAAATTTTGAACTTTGAATGGTCGGCCTTAGTAGATCAGCATTCATAAGATTGAGCTATCTGTCTACTTGCAGTGGAATAAAAAAAGGCATGACTTTTAGGAAGAATAATGTACATTTAACCTGTAGAGATTTGGGAACTGAAAGCTAGGGTTAGGAGCATGAAGTCATGATTAATAAACAATTAATAATAGGAAAGGATAAGCCATATGTTCTGTGATTTGGTTATATTCATATTAGTAACAGTCGGACTTGTTATAATTTTGTTCTTTCCAGATACTAGGTGGTCCGTAATAAAGTGCCTCATTGGTGGGTGGGAGTTCAAGGAAATGTTGAAGCTCTTTGGAGTCTAGAAATAGGGTTATTAGCCTTTTGAATCTGATAAACGTATCACAATTACGGATAGGCATTGGCAGCCTGTTCCACAATAAACTGTACCGTACTGTAAAGAACTTACAACGCATTTGTTTTTGGTGTTTTACGGTAAGTAGTGTATATGCGTTGTTTCTAAGTCTATAGGCTGGGTCGTGGGTAATAGTCGGGCAGGAGGTTAGAAAGGAGAGCCCATATATCGCTTTGTAGAGAAATATTAAATTGTTTTTTAGCCTACGGTGCCATAAGGGTTCTAAAGATAGATGCTTACATCTGTCTGTGTAATCAAGATTCGAGTTGCATCCTAGTAGTTGACGTGTGAAACGTCTTTGAACATCTTCTACTCTTGTCTTGTCTGTGATATTCATATTAGAGAATACAAAAGAGCAGTATTCAAGGGAGGGTCTTACACATATTTTGTAGAGAGAAAGTTTACCCTCTGTTGTGAAAAAGTTTCTCATTATAAAGCCAATTAGCCGTCTAGATTTAGAAATAATAGAGGAGGCATGTTCTTCAAAGTTCAGGCTTCCTGTGTAATTAATTCCTAAATCGCGTACTGATTCGAGTGTTTGGACTCTACTTTCATTTAAGTGAAGTTGCGGTTTATAGGGATGCTTTCCAAAGTGCATGATCCCGCACTTGTTGAGGTTTAATGGTAATTGCCATTTTTCACTCCATATAGTTAAGTTATTGAGGTCCTTTTGGATCTGGGATACACTTTCGCTTAGTGTCTCAGGCTTATAGCTGTATACTATTTTGAGATCATCAGCATATAAGTATGGTCTTCCAAATTCTATGGTGTTACATATATCGTTTATATACATAAGAAACAAAAGTGGACCTAATACGCTTCCCTGGATGACTCCACTGGTGATTGGCCTAGGGGACGAGAGACAGTCATTGTACTTTACCATCTGTTTACGTTCTGTTAAGAACGAAGCAAACCATGAGTACAGTGGGTTGTGTATTCCGAAGGACTTTAGTTTGACGAGTAGCCTTTTGTGTGGGACCTTATCAAAGGCTTTCTTAAAGTCTAGGAATAGAACTGATACAAGGAGTCCGCTGTCTCGTTTCATAGTTATATCATTCAGGTAGTCTACTAGGCATGTATCGCATGATCTGGACCTAAGAAATCCATGCTGGGAGGTCGAGATGAGATTATTAGTTATTAGATGTTGGACTACAGCCGCCTTAACTACTTTTTCCATCACTCTGGATACCACTGAAGTTATGTTTATAGGCCGGTAATTTTCAACGTTTGCTTCAGGTCCTGTTTTAATTTTGGGAATGATATGTGTAGTTTTCCAGGCAGTGGGGTAACACGCTGGTCCCCAGACGTTCTCTGATTTTATAGAGATATAATGAGAAAGTACATGTTGTTTTGGTTGCAGAATATTTGAAGACATTTGAGCACATAATTAGAACACCATTCTAGCCACTACGATATCATGGCATTCCGTTAGCTATCTATTCAGAGCGTTGTTCTGTTTTCTTGTGGCTCCGTAAATATCCCACATCATATAAGCGATAAAAATGTTTCTTCTATTGAACACTTTAATTAAGCCTTGGTACCAGTGTGATCCTTAAGGTTTAAGGTCGATTTCAAGGTTAATTAGAGTCGACTTCATAGAGGTCCCATGGGTTGTAATGAGTTTTTAGATGTGGATGTTGTGGATGAGTTGCAGTCTTATATCGAACGTCAGATTCATAGTGTTGAATCGAAGAAGAATTTTAATAGCGTGACTGCGCTTGGTGGGGGTAAATTAAAAGTCAGAATAACATGTAAGTTTTCATTAGGCATTTTATATTTCTTTTGGTAGCTGGATTTTATTTAGTAGACCGTCATTCAGAAAATATAGTTTCTAAAGCTGTTAAGAAGCTTTCATGTGAGCTTGACCAAGGTAAAATTTTCTCGAGACTAATAATTATTGTTTGTTAAGTTGTTTCACATACCTATAGCCGTCCAGATAGTGCCAATATAAGGATAACGTCCATTATACGGGATTTTGAGAAAACAGTTACCGATATGTGTAACCATTACTCTGGACATGTTTCAAAATTGAGAAATCATCCTCTCTCATCCATTAAGCTAGGTGAGTTGGTACTTACATTAGATTAGCTGGTATCTGAAACTTGTTTCAGCTTACCTAGCTAATCATTGAACTTAATAAGAAATACTACACTCATCGGAATATTATCAGACTGTCGGTTGATTAATTTTGAATCGAAGTTTATAAATTTAACATTTGTTTAGTACCTGCTAATTCATTCAGTGTCACTTCGTTGTGTTAGTTGTCTTAAGTATCTGGTTTAACCACACTAGGTAGAATGAATTTTGACATTATTGTAGAGAAACATTTCACTCCATTCGTTCTTTACCAAACCTTTCAGTGGGAATTTTCACTTAACTTATGCGTGTTAGGAGAAAAACCTTCGTGGTTTCCTCAGATTCGAGCATTCCATCACAGGTTTTTGAGATTACATCAGCTTCATTTCCAATTTCCTATGAATTCAGTGAAGTTGAAGGTTGTGACCAGTGTTCGTTAGTTAAAATCTAACGTTTATTGGCCTTTACCTTGGTGCTAGATCTAAGGGTTAATGTTTACATTGTTAATCTGCTAATGGAAAAAAACGAAACAAAAATATTAAAAATCAGCAAAGTAATAAGTTACACAATTTTAGCATCTAAAATTCCATCATTCATAAGAACGAAATCTTAAATTCGAGTTCAGAAACAATAAAATGATCAACTCTCGACCCTAGTTTATCGAATCTTTACTTCTTGCAGTCTTCCGGAATTTGAATATATTTGGTAGCTTCGAATTTGTTAGCTTTGATAAGCAACACAGCCCAGTTTCTTTATATGATGATATACGAATTATTAAAGTACTTGTTTAGTGAACGAAGACTTGGTGGGGAAAACCAATTCACTGGTTTTTGCAAAGTCACACTGTGCCTTTGTGAAATATGGAAACCATACATTAAATACATTATTTGCATGTCTTCCTTCAGTTGTCCTTCACATACTCCATTCTACTGGTCCTGTTGTCATTCCGATTGCTCCCCTTTTTTCTTCCTGTTCTTTTCAACTCACTCTTCTGCTGGTTAGAATTCTAATTCGTACTCCTGCTACATACTACTTGTATCTGTCCATATATGAACTGCACACCATACTCTTCATCCCTTTAAGAAGCCTCTCTCTCAGTCGTTACGCTCGTCGTTATGCCGAACCTTAGTTCTGTCGATCTGCTGGGTCATCTAAATCTGATAACCATTCAACACCCAATAAATTCTACGTCCCCTTCCCGTCTACTGAAACTGCTACACTCAACGCCGCCTCGCCAGATTACTCCACATAACGTCTCTTATTGGGACCAGACTCCTCCCGGAGTCTTCAGGACTGCTCCCTCCTCCTCGCTGTAGGCAGCGACACCAAGTCACTTTTTATTAGCCTTTTGTTTATGAATATCTGTTTTCTATATTTTCAACCGCATTTTTCCTCTCACTGACTTCATTTTAGGTAGTGTTTATGCTTGGGCACGTGAGCAGTCCGGAGCTAACTTTAATGACCATCAAATATGTTCAGATCTTAGAAAAAATCGTTTGCGTTTATGTCAAAAGTTGTCACGTTTGGTACGTCTATCTAAGTCATCTAAAGAACAGAGTCAACGTCATCCTCTACTCGTCAGTCTGCGACATGACCTAACGAAAATAAGATTACGTGCAACAGGGAAAGTATTTACAGAAAAGCCTGTAATTACGACACTTCCTTCAGGTATACATTACAAATTTTTATTCGTATGTCGCATAATTTGCCTCTAAAACCTACAGTAGGTTGCTATTTGCATTCTTTATCCGAAAAACACTCAGACAAATTACTTTACTAATACATCTCATTTGAACTGTATTTCCTGTTGATTTTGTGCATGTATCTCTTAATAGCATGTGTGGAAACCTGAACTAACCTCTGTTTTCCAATTTCACATCGTTAACGGGCTCCTTAATACCTATCTATTCTTATCCAGACAAATCGAGATTTACAAAATCATGATAAAAATAGGTGTTTATTGACTCAGACACCAATTTACGTCTAACTTCTGGTCTTAGACATGTTGGTTATTATTATTATTTATTTATTTATTTGAACACATAAATATTGGTAGACATGTTGGTAGATGCAGACTACTTGATTCTGGTCTGCACGACTATTGGAACCAATGGTTGGAGACTCTGTGTGACATGGCTCAGAATCGATCACAATGGTGTAGGTGAATACACTCTGTATTCCCTTAAATTGTCGAATTAAGATTGCTTTATATCTTTCTTTCTACCAACTAATCCTTGCACACAATCTTTCTTTTATATCAGTCAGTCAGTAACAACGTAGAACTTCGTACGTACGTACATCAGTTCGAGTTGTCACACCACATTAGCACAGAGATGCAGTGGTCGATTCAAATCCCGTAGTGGTAGAGGTAGCAAGAGTATAAGCAGTAAACGGGAAGATTAGGGTTTGGAGATGTTATTTAAAGAGTATAATTCGGTGAAATAAATTTGGAAAGAGGAAAAAAGGGACATGAAGAATTCAGAAGATTAGAATTTGGGAGAACACAAAGAGTGGATGCACCTGCGCCATTGCAAACGATTTTGAGCCATGTCATTCAGGGTCTCTAACCTTCGGTTGCTATCATCTCGCGGTCCCCAACCAGGTAGTCTACACCTACCAACATGACTCAGACCACTTGTCAGTGACTTCATGAACTTGTGCCATGTTTTGGTCTGGCCGCCCCTAGCTTTCTTCCAACCTACTCCTATACCACTGAACATCGCACGTCGAGGCAGTCGGTCGTTGGGCATACGTAACACGTATCGCAGCCATCTCAACTGACGAAGTTTCACTACGTCATTAATTGATTTGCCATCCTTACCTAGTACCCGTTTCCTAACAACTGCATTACTTATTCGATGGTCCCAGGATATACGAGCAATGTTTCGAAGACACCTATGATCAAATACTAGTAACCTACGGATATCCTCTACTCTTACCGGCCATGTTTCACTGCCATAAAGTAGGACGGAACGAACTGCTGCGCAGTAAACCCGTCCTTTGGTTGATAGACGGATATCTCGCCTACGCTATGAATGACGCAAGTTGGTAAAAGCTAGTCGAGCCTTCTGTATCCGTGCTGAGATTTCATCACACACACCAGACCACTAGGGCTGATGAGACTTCCAAGTTAAGTGAAGCGATCGACACACTCAACTACTTCACTCCCTATCATTAGTTCGGGTGTCAATGCAACCCAATCCTGAAGCAACAATTTGCATTTCGAGGTGGAGAATCGCATCCCGAACATGCTTGTATTGTTGCTTAGAGTAGTAGAAGACCCTGCATTTTGTCAGCGTCTTCACCAAATAAAACTATGTCATCAGCATATTCTAAGTCAACAAGTGAACCTCCCGGTAGAAGTTCAACCCCTGTAAATTTAGATGAGGAAAGTGTTATCTCTAAAAGTACGTCAATTTCAAAGTTAAACAAGAATGGAGAAAGTGGGCAGCCCTGACGAACACCACTTGAGATAATCAATTCTGATAACAGTTTGCCATAAGCTCTCACTCGACCAGTTGTGTTCGAGTAGAGAGCCTTTACAGGGTTGATGTACTTCTTTGGTACTCCTTTCAGTGACAAACATTGCCATAGAACCTTACGATCAACATAGTCAAATGCCGCCTTAATATCGAGAAATACTACCATTGTGGGGCGTCTGAACGTGTGTCTGTGTTCTAGAACCTGACGTAGTGTGAATATCCGATCTATACAACCACGTCCAGGTCGAAAACCGGCCTGATTTTCTCTAGTCTGCTCTTCACGAGCTTTAGTTAGTATTATTGAAGCTAATATTTTAGACACTATATTAGTCAAACTGATTCCTCTGTGATTGTCACAGGATGACTTTTGTCCTTTCTTAAAAGCTGGCACAATCAGTGATTGAGACCAGTCAGATGGGATTACGTCCAGTTCCCGAGTCCTACCTAAGACGTCAGTTAATCTCACTTCTAATACTGAACCACCATCCTTAAAAACCTCAGGAGTAAACCTGTCAGGGCCTGCTGCACTCCCTCGCTTCAGATTTCCTATGACTTTTTCAACTTCGTAAAGACTCGAAGTACCTACATTAACTTGCCACTCAGGTTGACTGGGGATCGTGGGAAATCGAAGTGTGGCTGAAGGCCAGTTGAACTGATCCCTGAAGTGTTCTGCCCATCGATCCAACCTCCTGGATTGAGAGTGTATAATATGTCCATCTTTCTCTGAGAGTGTTTCGCTAACAGTCGGTTTCCTAATACCGGTTTCCTTAACGAGTCTAAACAATTGTCTGCTATTACCTATTGCCGTTGCCTTTTTCATCTCTCTTGCTTTCGCTATCCACCACTGTTCACGATCATTGCGTAGACTTTTTGTTAGCTTGCGCTTAAGCTGACTCCGCTCTTCATTATGTTCATAGCCAGGTGGAATGAGTTTCCGAGCATCTATCAGTGCGATAGATGCTGCTGAGATCCAGTGTCGTTCCCTAACCTTACGGGTTACCGTACTAGCAGATATCACTGCTGTTTCCACAGCTTTTCGGATATCATTCCATGCTGCCTCGGGGTGGGCATCACATACATGGCTGCCTAACTGTTTTCCTAGTTGACCATCATTAAGTAGGGCCCTAAGAGGTTTCCTTGCAGCAACTTTACTACGTCCAGTAAGACGCAAGCAAATACGCGCTCGTACTAGAGCATGATCTGAATCTAAGCATGTGCTCCAGAATGAGCGACAGTCTTCTATCGAGCCCCTCCATCGGTGGCTGATAGCGATATGATCTATTTGGGTCCAACGTTGGGACGAATTAGGGGGTCTCCATGTTAAAAGATGTTTTTCCTTATGCCTAAAGTTAGTATTTGCAAGAAAGAGGCGGTTATCTGAGCATAGCTGCAACAGACGGTCGCCATTATCTGTTCTTCGAGCCACGACACTATAAGATCCACCCAGGTGTCTTCCCCTATCGCTTAGTTTACCTACTTGAGCATTAAAGGCACCGGCCTTTATTACTACATCCGAGCGCCTAGCTTTTAGGAGGAGGTCGGAGAGCTTTCTGTAAAACTCATCTTTTACATCATCTGTGCTGCAGTCAGTGGGAGAATAGGCAGAGAAGACGAAGAGGCCACGGGAAGCAGAATCAGGGCTTCCAGATACACGAAGTGTGAATCGAGTCGGTTCTTTATTTTGGCATGTTGAGGTCAGATGAATGACGCTACTCGGATCCTGTATGCGCGTTTCGGAGACGCAGCACACATCGATGGCTCGGGATTCTAAAGTCTTAGCTAAGGAAGCCTGCTATCCTATTTGGCAGTGTTCGAACGTTAAAAGCTCCTACGTGTAGTTTAGAGTGTGGTTTCAGGAGACCAGGAATAGCGTTCCGCGTACTTGAATCGTTTGCCCTAGCGGTGCGAGATGATAAAGAGACGTGAGGAGGGTTAGTCATGGAGATAAGAGAGGTATTAGAAAGTGTAGGAAGGATTTGAATGTGACCAACTTAGTCTCGTGTGCTGTTACGGGTATGAGGGCTGATATCACTTCCCGGCTGCCCACACCGTGGGAGGGTATTTCTTGAGGAACCTGAAAAGGAAATTGGATTAGTGTTGGTCTTAACGACCTGGGGGCGTGACCGCAGAGCCCAAGGGACAACTGCTTGAGGCCGGTCGCGCACGGCTTTTTCGTGGAAGGTTTTTAATGTGTTAGCTCCGTTCTTCAAAGTGCCTTACCGCCGGAGACGGAAATCCGTGAGGTAAGGTGAGGTGTGACATTTTTAGTGTCAACCTTTTCTAACCCCACCCTTCCTTGTGGAAAGGCAGCATCGCTGCAGATGCTGGTTGTCCGAGGGAAACACCTTACTGCTGTCACACCTCTGTACAGTCAGCAGTACGACTTCGCCCTCAGACTTTGAGTTGCTGCTTTTAGTCTTACCGTTCACCAATTGACCTGCCTGGCATGGTAGAACCTACAGGAACATATGTCCCAGCCAATATAGCTCGGTTGGGTCATCACGATAGGCAAGCCCGACCACCGCGTCAAGTAGCAGCTTCGGTCGGGTCTTTTATATATTACTACCATTGAAGTAACTACTTCTATGGATTTGGTGTTCATTTTGTTGTGTTAATGAGGTATGGCAACTTGGACCGACGCATATATGTGCCTAGTCGTACGTTGTAGCTGAATGACAACTTACGTTTCAGTAATTGGTACACATTGATCTTTTGTGTATTTTGTTATTCCCTATAACCCGTTAATTATCACGTGACAAGACCACCAATCAGAACGTCAACTTACTTGACCTTGGCCCTGTGCTGTACCAATGATGGGTTAACCATTACGAGCAGCCTTGAGTCAACTCTGTACCCTTATTGGTCATCTATATAGTAGCTTCTCGCATAGTCCTGCTCGTTGAGTCGAGAACACAATATCAGCTTGTACTCTATGAATCAGACATACGCAGTTTATTCACGAGTAAACTAGACCACATCACACCATCAAATAGAAAGTAACAATTATACAAGATCAAGCTGAATGTGACTGAATGTGAAAGACTGTAACCAATAGATTGCAATCCCTAGCAGTTACCATTTACTTATTCTTGGATAGCATATAACGTGGTTGCCATGGTTAGTTACCATGCGCCAGTTTTTAGTGTTTGAACGAGTACAATTTATCATTTGGCTTCACCTCGTACATGCTGATGTTTACCTTGAACTTAGATCAACATACGTATGTTGTAGGTTCTTTGTTTGTCATAACTGACTGTACCATGTTATGTATTTCTCGTTGCTTTTACCGTTTCTACATGCTGACTTTTCATTTTAGCAATATGGTCGTTTCCATATAAAAATTTAGTATCTACTTCTTTCATTATTTGTACTTCATTTTTCAACCAACTAATATACTTTACAGACAGTACCTTTGCTTCGTTTGAAAAACCCATTATCCAATCGAAACTCGCGGTTGTATTTGAAAGGTTGGCTGACCAAATAACGGATCTTCTTCTCCCAATTTCACATCTTATTCCAGGTACGTCCAGAAAACGATTTTAGAATAAACAGTTGACATTTTTGGCTAATCGTTGTTTTATTGCGTTCATCATAATGCTTTTCCCAGTACTTTAAGATAAACTTATCACAGATAGTTTTCGTACAAACCTTCCTAGACGTTTCTGTTAGTTGGTATCACAGGTTGTAAGAAGTACCTAATGAGAACCGAACGAAATAAAATGAATCCGTGCTATTCTGTTCACGTCCTTGTGTATCTTTTGCAGGTTCTTAAGATAGACTTTGGCACACACTTATACAGTAATTCTAAGAGTGATTTAGTGGCTGGGAAATATTGAATTGAATTTTCTATATTTTGACAACTACAACTGTTTTATCAAGTCATGTTCTCTAAACTGAACGGTTTAACCATGAAACTCATTTCCTTTTCAGGCTCAATCAGTGTTGACCTTAAAAAGTAAAATGTTTCCACAAGTGAATCCCAGGTTCTGTTGAGATTAAATTTGATTGGTTATTGCAGACAATTATAACCTGATTGTCTGCATATTCTACGTGTCATCTTACTTTGAAAGTTTAAGGTTTTCTATTAACGTTAACTTAGAGTTTGGGCTTGCTTGTCATGAAAACCTGTTCAAGCTGTATTGGCCAGAATATATATTCTTTGGGGTTTTCTCTTATGGTGGCCCCCAAATGCCCTGGTACGGTCGAGGGTGGGGAGAGTCCGCTCTCCCTCTCGAATTGATCTCATGGCCACGCGTAAATAGCCTCTGCCAAGGAAGTCCTACTCACTGCCTTCTCGTAGTGGGAGTGTTGTTTACGGAATTGAGAGGGCGAAAGGCGAATGTCCGGTGCTTAAATGGGGTTAGTGGACTTGGAGAGTCCACTTAGGGGAGTTGGACAACCCTAATTCCAAACCAATGGTGCACATGTGCTCCAGGATCCTGAAAGAACAAATGGCGTATGAACCAATCGTTGGTCACTGGCTAAGATGGGACTGCATATCCTTACGATGCTCCACTGCCTTGTGGATCAGACCTTCAGGTCGAAGGCTCTGGTTGTGGCCCCCTAAGAAAACCACCTGCTTCGGTTTGGGTGCCCGTACAGTATCACAGCCCTCACACAAATGAAATGATATTTGTGCGGCGCATATGTAACTGGTGCCTCCTTGTTACTTACTTACTTACTTACGCCTGTTACTCCTCGTGGAGGAGCATAGGCCGCTCACCAGCATTCTCCACCCAGCCCTGTCCTGGGCAATCCTTTCCAGCTCCTTCCAGTTCCAATTCATCCTTTTCATATCTGTTTCTATCTCACGACGTAATGTGTTCTTAGACCTTCCTCCTTTCCGCTTCCCTTCAGGATTCCAAATTAGGGCTTGTTCAACTTTGTCATTGACGTACTTTTAGAGATAACACTTTCCTCATCTAAATTTACAGGGGTTGAACTTCTACCGGGAGGTTCACTTGTTGACTTAGAATATGCCGATGACATAGTTTTATTTGGTGAAGACGCTGACAAAATGCAGAGTCTTCTGACCACTCTAAGCAACAATGCAAGCATGTTCGGGATGCGATTCTCTCCCTCGAAATGCAAAATGTTGCTTCAGGATTGGGTTACATCGACACCCGAACTAGTGATAGGGAGTGAAGTAGTTGAGTGTGTCGACCGCTTCACTTATCTTGGAAGTCTCATCAGCCCTTGTGGTCTGGTGTGTGACGAAATCTCAGCACGGATACAGAAGGCTCGACTAGCTTTTGCCAACTTGCGTCATTTATGGCGTAGGCGAGATATCCGTCTGTCAACCAAAGGACGTGTTTACTGCGCAGCAGTTCGTTCCGTCCTACTTTATGGCTGTGAAACATGGCCGGTAAGAGTAGAGGATATTCGTAGGTTACTAGTATTTGATCATAGGTGTCTTCGAAGTATTGCTCGTATATCCTGGGACCACCGAGTAAGTAACGCAGCTGTTAGGAAACGGGTACTAGGTAAGGATGGCAAATCAATTGATGAAGTAGTGAAACTTCATCAGTTGAGATGGCTGGGACACGTGTTACGTATGCCCAACCACCGACTACCTCGACGTGCTATATTCAGTGGTATAGGAGTAGGTTGGAAGAAAGCTAGGGGCGGCCAGACCAAAACATGGCACAAATCCATGAAGTCACTGACAAGTGGACTGAGTCATGTTGGTAGGTGTAGACTACCTGGTTGGGGACCGCGAGATGATAGCAACCGAAGGTTAGAGACCCTGAATGACATGGCTCAAAATCGTTTGCAATGGCGCAGGTGCATCCACTCTCTATGTTCTCCCAAATTCTAGTTATCTGAATTCTTCATGCCCCTTTTTTTCCTCTTTCCAAATTTATTTCACTGGATTATACTCGTTAAATAACATCTCCAAACCCTAATCTTCCCGATTACTGCTTATACTCTTGCTACCTCTACCACTACGGGATTTGAATCGACCACTGCATCTCTGTGCTAATGTGGTATGGCAACTCGAACTGATGTACGTACGTACTAAGTTCTACGTTGTTACTGACTGACTGACTGAGGGCTTGCCTCGTGATGCAGTTTGATGATAGGCGTAATGTATGTTCTATCCATTTCCATCGTCTTTCTCTAATTTCTTCTTCAGCTGGAAGCTGATTTGTTCTCTCCCGGAGAAAGCTGTTGCTGATGGTATCCGGCCAATGGATGTTGAGTATCTTGCGTAGACAGCTATTTATAAATACTTGTACCTTCTTGATGGTGGTTGTTGTAGTTCTCCAAGTTTCAGCTCAATACAGTAGAACTGCCTTGACGTTGGTATTGAAGATTCTCACTTTGATATTGGTTGAAAGTTGTTTTGAGTTCCATATGTTCTTCAATTGTTCTTCAATTGCTTTACCAATCCTTGCCTTTACGTCTGCATCTGAACCTCCTTGTTCATCGATGATGCTTCCCAGATATGTGAAGGATTCTACATCTTCCAGAGTTTCGCTATCAAGAGTGATTGGATTGCTGTTCTCCGCCTTAAATTTGAGGACCTTGGTTTTCTCTTTGTGTATGCTGAGGCCTACTGATTCAGAGACTGCTGCTATACTGACTGTCTTTGTCTGCGTTTGTTCGTGTGTATGCGATAGGAGGGCTAGTTCATCTGCGAAGTCCAAATCGTCTAACTGATTCTGAGCTGTCCATTGTATACCGTGTTTTCCTTCAGTTGTCGATGTCTTCATAATCCAGTCGACCACCACAGCCTTGACGTTGGTATTGAAGATTCTCTGCCTCCTTGTATTAGTATTTATGTGTTCAAATAAATAAATAAATAATACCTTAGGATGTAGGTTGGTCGGAGGGCCATCAAACTATAGATTGTAAAATTAAATTAAAATGGTAGGTTATCATCGACATTACTGGGTTATGGCAGAAGTAATATGTTTCTCAGCAATAAAAGGCATCTCCAGTGATGCTGCACTCCCAAAAGTTAAAATAGAGATTAAAAGCTTCGTCCTTAAGCATTATGACTTCTCTTGTTATGAACTAGATACTTATTGCTTAGTATTCGCGAACACTACTTCAGTCGACAAGTATCTAAATCAAAACACAGTTGAACTGGAACGTAATTATGTTCCAAATAACAAGAGCGGACAGAATTAGGAATCACAATACGAAAAACGTCAGCATATTCATAATTTTTCTTTAAGAAGATTCTAAATTCTTCTCCAAGTGTCTTCTAGAGCTGATTGGTTAATAAAACGCCAACGTGTTCTATCACAATACATCACTGAACATGGTTTTATTCAATTTATATCTCGCTAACATTAAGTAAAAGCACTTCGCGTGGACCCACGACTTTCCACTTCCAGTGGTAAGGTTTCACAACTCAGTTAACACGAAAATCACTTACAAAAGGTTCGTACTCGACCAGCCTCGGACTGTCGTCCCCTAAGCTCTGCAACCACGCTCATAAATTGACATGACCTATGATGCTAATCCAGTTTTATTCTTTTCAGATCTTTTAATTGGAAGTTTCCTACTGTATGGACGACCAGAGATTTTCAATCACTCATACACTTTCAATACAGTAACTTAATCGACGTTAAAAGTTTTGTTCATACAGACTTATTTTCTGTAAATAAGACTAAATATAATATATTTCATTTTCACTTTCTACATCCGGTTTTCAATTTCTAAAAATGTCCTTTTAAAGGTATTTCAATCGTAAAATGTGCCGATGATGCTGCAAAACGCCGAGAAAATTTACGTGCACAAGTAATCTTAGCTATTCACGGATTTTATTGTCATTTCAATGAGATCACTGAAGACAATACATATGAATTTAAACAAAATAATTCAGTCATGAATGATGATCCTATGAATGGAAGTTATGACTTATCGGATAGATCTGAGTCTAGTTCCGATGATGATGACATTACTGGGGCAAAGTAAGTTACCTGATTAAATCTTGGGTGTAGTTTATATCGTTTTACTTTCTTCTGTCGTATCATTATTATTAGTCACAGTGTTTGGTTACCAATCAAATTTTGTGTTGTAATGCGAATCACATAGCAATTGTTGCTAAGTTAAAGGAGCTAGAGTTACTACTATAGATTCCCATATCACCCAACCGTTACTGCTATCTTCATGTGGTAAGGCTTACATGTCATCATGACCCAGTCGAGTTATATTGGCTGGAAAACTCCTGTGAAGTTCTGTCAATCCAAACAAGCTGGTTAAAGATCGTTAAGATTAAAAGCAGTAAATGTATGGTCCAAGGATGAAGTCGTACCGTTGTTTGCACAGGGTTGTAGTGATAGTACCATGTTTCCTTTAAAAAACCAGTACTTATAATGATGCTGCATTCTTACTACGGAAGGAAGTGGTAAGAAAAGTTTTACTCTAGAAATAGCACACTTCACGTTACCCCATAGATTCCGGCGTCGGCGTTTTAACCCTTATAGTACAGAGTCAACACATCAAGGACTGTACACAAAAAGACCTTTATATTTCCAGTCTCAGCTGCTTTGTTGGTCTCTGAGATCACACTCCAATATCATTCCCAACGCAATTTCCTTTTGAGGATTCTGAAGGGGAAGTATCTTTCACATTTAGAGTAACTGGGAAACAACAACTATCCTTTCCTAACAACACTCGAGATCACCTCACTTAAAATCCGACTCGTTCCTTGTAATGTCAAAAAATTTATCTAATGCTTCCGAATTTCCAACAATTGTGTAGATCAATTAAATTCAATACAAACTATATGATTTTATTTGTATTGGAATGAACAGTTATTTTCACATTTCATTTAAATGTAGGTTAGTAGCTCAACTAAGTCCTGCTATAGTCCAAGCTTCACTTGATCGATTTGATCATTTTAATTGGAATAAACAAAAACAACGATCTTCATCAAATCGTTCAAAAGAACAAACAATGGAACTGCAATCTATCAACAATATACGACAACCTACTTCCAGTTATGTAAAATCACTAAATGTAAAAGAAAAGATGAAATTAACTCAATCTACAATGGATAATGGAAATGTTGAGAAACTGATGTAAGTCTCTCTTTTGATTTGGTCTTTACAAAGAATATACATATTTGATTGTTATTGGAGTAAAAGTTGAATGGTTAAGGTGTTCGACTTTCAGTCATTAAATTGCACATTCGTTTGTTAATCTTCATAATATCAAATGTAAATATCTTCTCAGATATAGAGTAAACAGAATAAGAGTTATAAATATCTATGAACTTAACTTGTGGTTAATAAAGTTTCGATACCAATACTCGGTGAGACTCTAAATTATGGGCGAGCCAATCAGAAGCGTTTGAAAGATTTGAAGGTCACGGCGCCAACTTCAGTGCCTAATGCTAACGTACGATCGATTCACAAGGAATTTTGTACAAAACGTGTTAATTGAGCGGCTATAACAAATAAAACGGCGAAACTATAATTTGTGGACGAATCAACCAGGTATAAGATAACAGATCTCGGATTTTGGCGCGAAAGCCTTTCATCTATTTAGCATTATAGCTGATGTCAGTTCGTGATGGAAACCCCATATATATTTCTTAACTAGGGCAAATTACGACAATTATTGTGAACTGGATAATAAAAGCACCAGTAATACCGGCTGCAGTCAGGTACTACAATATATACGGATGTTTGGAGAGCGTACAAACTCTTACATAGTCTTGGTTATGTGCATCGTGTCGTTATCCACAAGTGGCATTTTGTGTACTCAACAACTGGAGTTCACAAAAACAATATTTAAGCTATGTGGTCGAGGCTGAGAGAGTTTTTGAGACTTTATCACGGCTCCAGAGGCCGACTATACCGTAGCCATATGGATAATCTCCTCTACTGCATGGATTACGATTTTAGAACCTCTGAACTTCTTTCAAACCTTGACAAGTTTTTGAACCACGTTCGAGAAGTGTATCCACTTTATTTCCTTGGCTTTGTATAATATAATTTTACTCTATACTGACTGTTTGCTGATTGGCTAATATTTCTCAAAGTCACTTAAGATTCGTTCAAAGGTCGTCTATAAATTAGAGTCTCGTCCTAATACGCTTCTAACTAGTATCAATTTCTTGTTAAATTTTCTTCTAATATCATTTCTATACAGAGAGACAAATGTTGAAGGTCGATTGAATAACGATATTTCAATGGAATCAGATTCTGAGATTATTCGAACTGAAGAAGATGAAATAAAAGGGAAAGAAACAGAAGAGAATAATCGGATTGATGCTGACAAGGAAAAACACAATAAAACAATACAGCATTTCAATAAATCAACGAAATCACATTCTAATAGTAGTAAAGTGAGTAGTAGTGGATTTACACGAAAACATACAAATCGATCACTTCGTTTACGTCATAGTCGAACACCATCTGATGCAAGTTGTTCCGAAGGTGAAGTATTGTCTGATACTGAAGAAGATCATGACTTAACTGATAATGATGTTGTTGATGAAAAAGATATTGTTGCTGTTCAGGAGAAAGTGAAATCGATCTCTGAAACAAATTGTGATCATAATGAAAATTTAGTCCGTTTGGTGCATAATTCATTACAGGCTAATACACCTATTAGTGATGTTGACTTAACTGAATTAGAAATTATGGATGAATGGGGTCCACCTACATCGGTTAATCGATTAGACACATCAATTGCATTAAGTGATATCAGCCTTCCAGCTGAAAAAGAGTTGGTTAGTCGATTTTTTGAGTTTCACTTTTAGAATTTTTTTAAACAAATACAAATACGACATTAAGTATATAAATCATTTCACTAGTTGAAATCATGATTCAAATGAAGCTAACCAACATTGAAAAACTGGAAGCACTGGACGGCCGTTTCGTCCTAGTATGGGGCTCCTCAGCAGTGCGCATCCACTATCCCGCTACCTGCGAGATTCAAACCCAGGACTTATCGGTCTAGCGCGCGAGCGCTTAACCATTAGACCACTGATCCGTCATCCAACGGTGGTTTAGCTGCAACTGACTCATGATTTCAACTATTGAAATTTCTCTTTTAGAAAAATCTCCACAAAACCCCTTCTATATAAGTCATATTTGAAATTTTTGAACTTATTCCAGTGTTACACATAGTGAATTAGTTTTAGCTTCTTCAAGTAAAGTTTAAATTAAAATGATCAAAAATAGATTCTTACACCTAGTATCTTCTGGTATAGTTGGCGTACCCAATCTTCGTCACATTGTTTATTCAAATGTTGATGAATTACTATGTTAAGTCATGCGAGTCTGATTGTGGTGTCATAAAACCGTCAGTTAGTTAGCTTCAACGTAAGACCAGACACATATATGTACGGGTCCAAGTTGCCATACCTCATTAACACAACAAAATGAACACCAAATTCATAGAAGCAGTCACTGAAATGGGAGTAATATATCAAAGAAAGATTGTGTAAGGATTAGTTGGTAGAAAGAAAGATATAAAGCAATTTTAATCCCACGGTTGAAGGGAAAACAAGGCGTGTATTCACATACACCATTGTGGTCGATTCTGAGCTATGTCACGCAGAGTCTCCAGCCACTATTGCTTACGATAGTCACACGGACCTCAACCAAGTAGTCTACATCTACCAACATGGCTCAGACTAAATGTTAGTGGCTTTACAGACTGATGCCACGTTTTGGTTTGGCCACCCCTAACTTTCTCCCATCCGTCTGCAACACTGGTCGGCATTACACGTAGTGGTAATCGATGCTCAGGCATACGTACCTCGTGACCTAACCATCTCAGTCAATGAAGATCTACAACCTCATCAACTGATTTACCATCATTATCTAATACCATGCATCTAACCTCACTATTACGTACCCGGTGATCCCAGGAGATGCGAGCAATATTTCTACGACACCTGTGATCAAATACAAGTATCTTCTACTCTTAACGACCACATTTGGTAACCGTAAAGTAGAACAGAATGAACTGCTGCGCAGTATACTCGTTCACATCTGTTGTGGTGTCAAAAAGTCGTAATTGCTAATATTTTGTCGAGTTCAATTATCAAAAACAATGAATAAAATTTTCAAAATATCTACTGAGTAATAAAAAAATTCCACGGAAGGTATCCTCATTGAGCTCTTTTTATTTCAAACTATTCTTGTATGCATATGTATTGATAAGATGAATAGCAAAACAGTCGAAATGATCGTAACGAGGGAAATTAAATAGTAATAAATGCAGATAAGATTGATTTCATCTTACTTGTTACTTATCAGCTATGTGTGTCTATATCCCAGTGTTATTGTTTACTTTGGAAATCGAACCCAATACGATTCACCTCAAAACACCCAACGCTTTATCTACTGAGCTATTGAGACCAGTTGCTAAAGCTCCTGGAATATTAAGTAAGTTTCATACCTTAAGTCTTAAATTCGAGTCCCAGAGTGAGCAATAACTCTGCGATGCAGTTACATCTAATTGATGAGTCCCGTATAGCACAAAACGCATGTCATAGATTCCGCTGTTAGCTATATCCCACTTTTGTAAACTCAGAATTGAAATCAACTTGAATTATCTCATTATTTGTATTGTTGACTGGATTCTGATCGATCTTAGTTGACATAAGTTCACCTTCTGTGGATTGCCTCAATTTTGTCATTTTATCATAATTTATTTCAAATAGTTGGATTGTAGCTACTAATAAAATCTAAAACATCTGTTTTATCTTATTTACCACTTATCAGCTGAATGTATCTGCATCTTTGTGTTCATATTCACGCTGAAACTTGTACTCAACATTTTTCACTTCAAACATCCAACATGTTCATCGATGTACAACAATTTTTGTACTTTCTCTTAAATAATTATATTTAATCGGTGAATTTATTCGTGACATTATTTTGTTATATTTATCAAAGCATATGATTTAATATTGGAGGCCTGATAAATCCGAGTATTGTTCAATTGGTTAGTTTGTGGTCTCTAGTATTATGTCAAACCTAAACAGGTCATTCCAGCTTCCTGGGGTCACACCTTGACCTTGTCAGTTATTCGCTTATTAACTTTGACTGTTTCTATTATGAGCGCATATTCGTGTATCGTTTACCCTATTCATCACGTCTTTTACTTATTTTTGTTCAGCTAGAAATCTTTATCAAAACGAGTTAGCTCACTCACCTTAACCGTTTCTCTTCGTTTTCCCGCTTCTTATTTCGAATGTCTGTTTGGATAAATGAGTGCCTGAAATGACTTCATTCAACACAACGCGTATTTGCCTTCTTATTACCGTTATCACATAAATGAGGCTAGCCTAGATGTAATATACGGGGTTGAGATTAGATGGTGGTTGGAGGTAGTCGACAGGAAACCCTGGACCCGGGTTTCGTGCTACTTGGCACTCGTCAGCAAGGTGTACCTGTAATCTTGAGGGAACTGGTACTCCCTGACGGATTCGATCTCGTGTCACCCAGCTTCACAGTCAGAGACGTCACCAATGACCTATCAGGGCGGCGATTGACCTCTTTTAGGACTGAGATGTAATCACAATTGATTGATCACTGGGTAGTGATCAATGTCATGTGTGTCAAGTCCTTCTTAGGTTAAATTCCACTCTCGTTCTCACTTTTGACCATATACCTGACAACCAGCCAAAATAAATCAGGAATTATTATTTACACTATCTTAATCTATGATAGAGGGCATGTTTCATTCTCTAACATTTTTGCTGGCTTATATGAATAATGTAAAGCTTCCTATAACAACAAAAATACCACTCAATCATGATATGGACGTGTCAAATGTAGCGCAGTCAGTTGTGATGGAAGAAAAATCACAACATAGCAGAATTCATACTTACTTACGCCTGTTATCCTTAGTGAAGAAGCATATAGTCGTAATTACTAACTGTTTAGTCGGCTTTCGGAGAACTTCAACGAAGCCTCCAGAGGCCCAGAAGGGGCCGAAGAGTCCTAGCCAATCAGAGGATGATGGAGCATTCTAGAATTCCAACGTGGCGTGCTACTATTGGTCAGTAGCATAATATGTCGTTAACGGATTGGCCGAAATATGTTGATTTAAGAAACCTTGTTATCTATAAATACCCATGTTTTCTGTACAAAAACGAACCTTGGAGTAAAGTGTTTCTCTCATACTTTGCATCTTCTTCCTGGTGTTCAGGTCGCTGTATAGTTCTAGCGTACGGGTTATCAGAATAGCTTAGGAACGAATATAGCGTCCACTCAGCAAGACATAACACTAACTGTGATACACTTAAATATCTTGACAACGTACAGTTTATCTCTAACCGTAAAATAACTCTTAACTAATCACTTAACTTATTCTGTATTTAATTTATTGCAAATAAATTTCTTTTTGTTTTTCATAGAACCTGATCACAACTGATGAGGATGATAAAATTACAGATTTATTCAATGAATCATTAGAATTCTGTGCTAAACATTTACATGATTTAATAATAATAGCTGAAACTAATTGTCATTTAATGAGAAAGCCTATAAAAATCAATAAACAAAATGATATCAATCAAACAACAATTAATAATCAATTACAACCGAATTTTTGTTTATCTTCTGAATTAGAAGCTAGTATTGATAGGACAGCAACTGCTTTCAAAGTAAGTAGTATGATTATGATTGTTGTGAATTTGAATATATATATATGGGTATAGGTATAGGTATATAAGTCGCTCTAATTAATTCTCCGATGACATATTTCTATTTGGTGAAGACGCTGACCACTGTAAGCAACAATACAAGCATGTTCGCGATGCTCCCTCTTGAAATGAAAAAAGGTTGCTTCAGGATTGGGTTGCATCGACACCTGAACTAATGATAAGGGGTGAAGTAGTTGGACGTGTTGATCACTTCACTTGTTTTGTGAGTCTCATCAGCCCTTATGGTCTGGTGTGTGATGAAATCTTAGCACGGATATAGAAGGCTCAACTAGCTTATGCCAACTTGCGTCATTCATAGCGTAGGCGAGATATCCGTCTATCAACCAAAGGATGGGTTTACTGCGCAGCAGTTCGTTTCGTCCTACTTTATGTCAGTGAAACATAGCTGGTAAGAGTAGAGGATATTCGTAGGTTACTAGTATTCGATCATGTCTGCTTCGAAACATCACTCGTATATCTTGGGACCACCGGATAAGTAACTCAGTTGTTAGGAAACGGGTACTAGGTAAGGATGGCAAATCAACTGATAGAGTGGTGAAACTTCATCAGTTGAGATGGCTGGGACATGCGTTACGTATGCCCAACCACCGACTGCCCTGACGTGCGATGTTTTATGGTGCATTAGTAGGTTGGAAGAAAGCTAGGGACGGCCAGACCAAAACATGGCACAAATTTATGAAGTCACTGACAAGTTGTTACAGCCCAAAGCCGTCAATCACAAGCAGCGAATTATCGACCGGACCAAGAACGTGTAAAACACGTGCGAGCAGCATACAGTCCTGATTGGTCCTGCTTTCCGCCTAGCCCAACCAGTTAAGTCCGGAACACCAGTCTCAGCCTCTGCATTATGAATCATTATATTTCAAAGATACTTAGTTTATATACCAATCAAACAGACCATAACTTACCAATAAAATGTGAAGCAACATTTGTACAAGAATTAGTCAGATGTGGCTAATTAGTAGACTGGGAATAATTCAAGAATGAAAAATCGTATAATAACAGTTCATAGGTTAAAATAAAACTTATGATAAGAGAGACATGAATATGAATAGTTTAATTATTTAACAATTATACGATAAAAATATACTTATAGTATTGGTCCATCAATAGATCCCAAAAGTTACCATTCATTATTCTTGTCGGGACATAACACAAGTAGACTGAACCATGTTGGTAGGTGCAGACTACTTGGTTGGAATCCTCGAGACGATAGCAACTGGTGGTTAGAGCGCTTGAATGACATGCAATGGTGCATGTGCATCCACTCTTTCTGTTCTCCTAAATTCTAATCTGAATTCTTCATGCCCCCTTTTTCCTCTTTCAAAATTTATTTTACTGGATTTTACTGCTTGAATGACATCTTCAAACCCTAATGTTTCCGATTACTGCTCATACTTTTACTATCTCTACCACTATGGGATTTGAATCGACAAATGTATCTGTGTGTTAATGTGGTATTTCAACTCGATGTGATGTACGTACGTACGAAATTCTACGTTGTTCCTGGTCATTGATCATTGAACCCTTTATCGACTACTTCCCGTTATTTTCTATCGGTTTCTTACGCCTGATACCCTTAGTGCAGGAGCTTAGGCTACCCACCAGCATTCTACATCCAACTCTGTTCTGGACAATCCTTTCTAGTTGTTATTCATTCTTTTGATGTATGTTTCCAATGCTCGTGTTGTGTACCGATAAGAATATTGAATAGTAATTTTTGGGATCCAATTATGGACAAATATTATGAGTAAATTTTTTATCGTATAATTGTTATGCAACTAAACTGTTCATATTCATACCCCCCTTATTATGAGCTTTACATTGACCTATGAACTACTATTTTACGATTTACCATTCATGAATTATTCCCTATCTGTTAATCGCTACCTCCCTTATTCACAGCCACTTCTAGCTAATTATTGTACAAATGTTATTTTCTATTTTATTGGTGCGTTGTGGTCTGGTTGATTGATATATAAACAGAGTATGCTTGAAATACAATGATTCATATCTCCGAGGCTGTGACTTGTGTTCTGGACTCAACTGACTGGGATAGACAGGGAAGCGGGACCAATCGAGACTCTAGGTCGTTCGTACGTGTTTATGTGTCATTGAATCGATCGATAAATACTCTGCTCTCTAATTTTTCAGTCAAGGACACAACAATTAGCACAGGGTAAAATCGATCCAAGTTTAAAGTCATAACAGCTCGACACAGTGTGTTTTTGGATCTTCCTCTTTTTTGTTCCCCTTCAGTATTCCATGTTAGCACTTGCATCATGATGAAGTTTGATAATCCCCACCCCACTCTCGGCCATACCAGGGCATTTTGGGGCATATTACGTACACCTATTACTCCTCATGGAGGAGCATAGGGCGCTCACCAGCACTCTCCATCCAACCCTGTCCTCCGCAGTCCTCTCCAGCTCTTTCCAATTGTTATTCATCTTTTTCATATCTGATTCTATTTCCTGACGTAATGTGTTCCTTAGTCTCCTTGTTTTTTTTGTGACCATTTTAGTTTTTTAACAGTTCATTCCCACGAGAGACTGTCCATTTGTATGCCATTCAAACTGTTCACCACACAATATTTATGGATTTGACGTGTGCCTACTGTTCTCTGATTAAATTCACATAAAAAACTCACATCTTAAAAATATTTCAGGGAATAATCACATCGAATTTGTGTTAAATGTTTGGACTTTGTCAGATGGGAACCCTGAACCCATTTCCAGGTAGTTGAGTAAAGGTACCTCCTATCTAGAGGGGACTGATAGTATCAGTCCGGTTCGTACTTGTGTTATCTATCTTCGTGGTTTGACACTTTATCACTGAGCTATTCGACCCACGACTGACCAATAGAACTGATATGTTTACAGTGAATTATCCGCTAAATAATAACCAACATCATGTTTTTCTAATCGTTTAATGCTGATCGAATTCAGTCAGTATTGGTCAATCAATTGTACACTTAGTTTAGCTTTGCTAACATTGAAAGCCTATGATTGCTTTAATTTATTGCACATTAGGTTACATAGGATACTGATGTTTTGTTTTGAGGATTTTTTTATGTCGAATTATTTTACACAAAAAGGGGTGCCAATTAAGTTACACCAATGTTTTATGCCATATAATTATTTCTTTTTTTGTGATGTTTTATTTTTTTTCTTCCTCTAGGAACACATTAATTCAGTATTAACTAATCTGTTACATACTGCATCAATCTCGAAATCATCAAATGATGGATCGAAATCTCGTAGTCAACGTACATCAACAATCACATCAGCACGTAGACAAAATGCTCCTTCCCGACGTGGTTCTAGGCTTCGTGGTATGCTATTAGCTTATCAACAGGATGCTGTGAAGAAACGTTTAAGCTCAAATAATTCTGAATAAACACCAATAATGAAAGCTAAACAATCATGGATCATGATTACAAAATGAAAACAAGTTTTCTGTCGTTTGTCTTTTCTATTTCTGAAATTTGGTTTCATTACCTTTTTTTCTTACATTTGAAGCAAACATATAACTCACTATCATCAATATCCCAGTGATATGCCTGTGAATTGGGCGGGGTTTTTTGTAATATATACACTTTTATTATTTAAGTGATTTGTTTCATATCAGTCACTTATATTTGTCTTCCTATATCTAAATTGAACAAATCATTCTGTAGTATATTAGAATAGGGTTTTAGTATAATAACTGATGACTGCCCCCAAATGCCCTGGTACGGCCGACAGTGGGGAGAGTTCGCTCTCCCTCTCGAAATGCCCTCACATTGCCACGCGTATAAAGCCTCTGCCAAGGAAGTACTACTCACTGCCCTCTCGCACCACGGGTGTTGTTTACGGAATTTAGAGGACGAAAAGCGAATATCCGGCGCTTTAACCGGGTTGGTGGACATGGAGATTTCACCTAGGGGAGTTGGAAAACCCTGATTCAAAGCCAATGGTGCACATGTGCTCCAGGATTCTGAAGGAACAAATGGCGTATGAACCAATCGTTGGTCACTGGCTAAGATGGGACTGCATTTCCTTACGATGCTCCACTGCTTTGTAGATCAGACCTTTAGGTCGAAGGCTCCGGGTATGGCCCCCTAAGAAAACCACCTGCTTCGGTTTGGGCACCCAAGCACTATCACAGCTGTCACACAAATGAAATTGAACCAATGAAATCCATTGGTTTTCCTGAACTATTGTTAGCAGTTAGAAAATTTAGAATGAATTTCCGCGGTTTGGTTATTTACAACATGAAATTTTAAATAGACAAGAAGGAAAGTTGATTGATTAAAATGTAGGCTTTGTATACATCTTTATTTATTCGAGTATAATTGCGTTATAAGTACGGTACACTCTGAACTACATTTGAAAATTGTGGCATTTTAAACATCATCCTAAATAATCACTCCTCCGTGATATGCAATGTGAACGTTTTCAGTTGTTGTTCATACAGAAGTGACCATTTCATAAACATTAAGTTGCATTAAAACCATATTTGCATCTCGTGAAACAGTTGATAAATAATAAAAATTTTAGAAGTAACTCTAATGAAACCATGATTACAAGTTCTCAAGTACCTCAAAAGTAATATCTGAAACTGAAAAATTACATATAGAAAAGTCATAATAAGTGATATTCCACTGGTACACAGTTAATTTGTGACTCAATATTCAGTCTAGATAAGATTTATAAATACATAAATTACCAGTGAATCATGCATTAAACCTATAAATTTGTTATAGTTGGGTAAAGTACCATAATCATCTGGATATTTAATAGTTTCTATGCAAGAATAAAAACTTACTTTACTTACGCCTGTTACTTCTAATGGAGCATAGATTGCTAACCAGTATTCTCCAACCCACTCTGTCCTCCGCCTTCCTTTCCAAATCTATCCAATTTTTGTTCATTCCTCTCATGTCTATCGGTCTCCATTTCTGGACGTAATATATTCTTCGATCTTCCTCTCCTTCTTTCACCTTGAGGATTCCATGTGAGGGCTTGCCCTGTGACGCAGTTTGGTGCTTCGCTCAATGTGTGTACTATCCAAGAATAAAAACGCTAATCAGTAAATGCTGTTACTTGAATGTAACACCTTGCTTTTTGATGTTTATATCAATAGGGTGTATCTACAATTTTAAACTGAAAAGTACCAATTATCATCATTTAACCAACTAAAATTATGTTTGATCCGCCATAATGTCGAATCAATCAAACCAGAGGTCACAAAACTACTCCATCTACGGAATTCAACCATCACTAAACACTAAGCAATACCGAACTATATATCTAATTTCAACTAGACATATGAAAGAATAATCTGTTTATGAATGTATGTCTTCACATAAGCACTCAGCATAAATTATAAGCTAAAATCTGAGCAAGTTCAGTCATTCAGCTACAACATAGGACTAGACACATACGTGCATCGGTCGAAGTTGCCACACTTCATTAGCATAACAAGATGAATACCGAATTCATAGATGTCGTTAATTCAGTGGTGGTAATATATAAAAGAAAGATTACATATAAGGATATAGTGTGGTGTGAGCTACTTATATTGATATAAGTAGTATATAACGTGCGTTAAAAGAACGTAATGTCTGGCAGCAAAAGATGGCGAAGACCAAGAAAGGTGGAGCGAGAACATAATGGAATTTGTAAGAAAACCTATGAACAATGAATTGGTGTTTGCAACAGAAACAATCCAGTTTGGTTTGATGCGTGAATATTTTGCAAATTGACGATTTAATATATGGTATTCAGATATTGTTGAAATACACTGTAATTGTTGTGCTAAATACTTCCGTTTGTCTCCACTCGTGTTCTTGTTCACTACATTTGGTTGTCCTCACACGTGTTCTCCTTCACTACAGGAAGAAAGAATTAGTTCGTAGGAAGAAAGATACGAAGCGATTTTAATCCCACGGTCTAAAGGAATACAGAGGGTGTATTCACCTACACCATTGTCATGGATTCTGAGTCGTGTCACAGAGTCTGCAACCATTGGCTACGATAGTCACGCGGACCCCAACCAATTAGTCTGCACCTACTAACTTGGCTCAGACTAGAAGTTAGTGACTTTAAGCACTGATGCCACGACCGTTGTTGCTACCATGATGTAGCGGCCGGGCTTGCTTATCGTGACGATCCAATCGAGCTATAGTGGCTGTAACAATCGTTTCTTAAGGTCCTACCATAGCAGACAGGTCGGTTGAAGTGCGGTAAGACTTAAAGCAAGAAACTCAAAGTGGTTCTGATTTCTGTACAGAGGTGTGACAGCAGTAAGGTGTTTGCTTCATACAACCAGCATAACAGCAATGCTGCCTTTCCGCAAAGAGGTGTGGGGTTATAAATAGTCGAACCTCAAATGCACACCTCGCTTTATCCTACAGGTATCCGTCTCCGGCAATAAGGTCTCAACATGTACGGAGCTAACACGGAAATAACCCAAAAAAGGTCATGTGTGACCGACCTCAAGCATTTGTCCCTTGGGCACTGCAGTCACGCTTTCAGGTCACTAGGACCACATTAAATCCAATTTCCTTTTCAGGTATTTCTAGAAGAATTCTTCCACGGTGTGGGCAACTGGGAAATGATTACTGCCCTCATACCTTTAACAGCACTCAAGACCACTGTATTCATAATCAACCTCCCTCTGAGCAAGTTACTTCTACGTTAAACACAATCATTTAATACTCATATAGAACTTTACCCAGTGGACTCTAATCGTTTTTCAATGTCACAGAATGTGACACGACTAACTCTCCTTTTTCAGTGAAACCATCTCGTATTCATATGCAATCTGTTCTCAAGAGTGGTATCTCCACTTTACGATACTTCGTCTTCACATGAATCAATGAACGTTCTGACAAGTGAGTATGTGATCAGACTATCCCGCATGTTTTCTGAAAATGCTTCACATTTTCGAGATCATCTACCTCTTCACTTTACACTATACAAAATAAATCATCGAATAAAGAAAATCACGACTAGTTGATAATTTCTATTTGACGTTCATTGCTTTGTATTTCCGAGGCAATTGTCAACTTAATACATTAGATTTTCGTATAATTATCTTCATTGTATTCTATCTGTTTGCTTTACTACTTAGTTACCTATCTATCTATTTGGATATCTCTTATTGCAATCATAAATGATGATATTATTTAGAATGAAACCATATGTGTAATACTCAGGTTATATTATGAGAATAAAGGTCACAAATGGTTATTATTTACTCATATTAGATCAATATCCATATTATCAACCTGAAAAATTGTTTTTATTTTATACTATCAAATAGAACACAAGTTTGTTCAAACCTTGTCATACTTTAATCGTCCATGGTTATCGTGTTCATTTCATCTTTATTAAACAATGTGTAATATATGGGTATTCTCAACTGTTGAAAATCACCTGATTATTTGTTGAACTAATTGGGTGATAAATTTTTCCGTTAACTCTCTTAGTTACTTACTTACGCCTATCAGTACCAATCGAACATAGACCGCCAAACAGCATTCTCAAACCCACTCTGTCCTCCGCTTTCCTTTCCAGTTTTATGTAATTTTTGTTCATTCCTCTCATGTCTATCTGTCTCCATTTCTTGGCGTAATGTATTATTCGGTCTTCTTTTCCTCCTCTCACCTTGAGGATTCCATTTGAGGGCTCGCCTTGTGACGCAGTTAGATGCTTTTCTCAATGTATGTCCTATCCACTTCCAGCTCTTCTTCCTGATTTCTTCCTCCACTGGGTTCTGGTTTGTTCTTTCCCACAGTAGGTCGTTTCTAATAGTTTCCAGCCAACGGATCCGACGTATTTTGTGTAGAAAACTGTTATTAAACACTTATATCTTCAAGTCCTCAACCATCAACCATCTCGCTCTCGGAATTCGAAACGAGATTTTTCGCTCACACGTGCAGAAGATTACCTTGTATAACGCTGAACTGGCCGACATTCAACGGTGTTAATGTCCAACTTCAACCAATCCACCATATTGTGCGACTATCCGCCACTTTCTCCATTGAGTAACTGCATCAAAACAAACATGATTGAAATCCATGGGTCACGGCTTCTCACTAGATCTTCATGAAATCCATCCTGATGGCAGTCACTAGTGAGCACATAATGAGGAGTACCATAATAAGAAGAGACGACCGTCCAGTACTTCCTGATTCTCCATGGTGGTCTAGCGTTGATCGATCAGATTACTAAAATCTCCATAACCCTCAATTCTGGTACGTTAATTTGCAATCAGTGTTTTACATTCTTAGTATATTTACGAGAGATTGACGTGATCAAATAGAGGAATTGATGATTGATTGTTATGCTTGGATTTAACAATTTGAGAATTCCAATGCAAACACAAAAAATATTTGAGCGAACAACTTATTCGATGATTAGCCTCTACAGTTAAATGTCTATAATGTTTGTCCTATTTTACAAAGACCAAAATGAGGCAGGCATGAATGAATTGAACAATGTTATATGTGAGAAATGTTCAACACACTCATTTGTTTCTATAGAAATACTTCAAGATGATGTGATTTGTAAATTAGAAAGGTCAGTTAATGAAGGTCGGAATGATTTGTAGTATGGTGCCA